AAAATGCAGCAGTTACCACCTTCGAGGAAGCTGTATTCTATTGGGGGAAACATAGTGCAAACATTTAGTTATACAAATACATCCAAAGGAAATACAAGGTAACCTTGAGGAGAAAATTACTCCTTGTTAGGGATGCAGGGAAGATCTCATGCAGAAAGTGGCATTTGGGCTGAATCCTGAAGGAAACCAGAGCTTCTAATTGGTGAGAGTGAAGAGGAAGTACATTATAGGCATGGGGGACAACAAATACAAAGTCAAGGAAATGGCTAGACCATAGAATATACAGAGGGGAGCAGTATAATAAGGTGAAGTTGTGAGAGGTTTTAATTGACAGAGGAGCTTATGTTTTATCTTAGTGACAAGGTAAAGTCATTGGAATTTATTGAGAAAATCAGGGTGGGAGGTATAGCTTTATGAGGCCTATAATTTAATAAAATCCCTTTGACAGCTGGGTGGAGGATAGTGAAAATGAGGAATGAAGAGAGACTAATAGAGCAAGAGAGTGGCAAAGTTAAATGAAGTATTCTGAAATTCACATTTCAGAGTGTTAGATGAAATCCCTCATGTTACCCTGGTGGACATGGTAGAGGAATGTGGGCTAGATAATAAGATTTAAATAGATCTGGAATTTGTTGAGTGGACCTAAGCTGTTATTAATGGGTCATTTCAACTTGGAGGTAGGTCTGTAGTGGAACAACATAGAGATCTATCCTTGGCCCTAAGCTGCTCAAAAATTTTATCAATGATTTATTTGAAAGCAATGATGGTGTACCTATCAGATTTCCAGGTAACATGAAACTGGAAAGGATAGGTAACATGTGGGGTAAAAGAGCTAAGATCCAAAAATGTTTTCATGGGCTAGTCATCAAATAAGATGAAAGGTAATAGAGACAGTTGCAAACTGTTCTTGGGTTCAAAAAATCAACTACAGGAGGCAGCCAAACAGGCTCCTTCACTAGAGATCTTTAGACCGACTCCCAAAACCCCATGTATGGCTCTCAAGAACTCAAAGCCACCTGACAAAGCATTCACCGAGTACTTTAGTGGAGGATATATGTATATATTTTTAAATGTTTTATTAATAGAGCTGATTCTACTTTTCTAGCTACCTGCTGAATGTATCAATGTTGATGTCCCATGGGCACCTCAAAATCAGGCTACCCAAGACTAACTTATAATTATCTTCCTGTCTCCCCAAAAACCTCTTACCTATTTCATCTTCATAGTAATTTATATTCAAAACTCTAGAACCACCTTTGCTTCTTCCTTCTTCATTACCCCTCTATCTAATTTGTTGCCAAGAACTGTCAACTCTGTCACTATAACATTTCTTGAATTTATGCCATCTTTGCTCACATTGCAATCATGCTAGTTCAGGACCTCATCGCCTCTTCCTAGTCTGTTTGTCAAGCCTGGTCTCTCTGCCTCTAGTCTCTTCTTCTCTTCACCAACTGCCAAAATAATCTTCTTAATGCACAAGTCACTTCCTTGTCACTTACCTACTCAAAAATCCAAGTGACTCCCTACTCCCTCTAGGATAAAATACAAACTTCCTAACCTCGAGTTTAAGGCCCTTGGAAGTCTGGCTCCAATCTACTTTTTCATCCTTAAGTAACATAGATACTATCGTACTTTATAGATACTATCATAGATACTATCCTTTAGCCAAACTGGTTCCTTGATCTTCTGTAACATGCTATCCCTTGCCTCTCTGTGCAGTCATACAGGTTGTCTCCCATGGCCATAATGGACTCCCCATGGATCTGTGCTGTTTGAAATCTTTGTCTTCCTTCAAGGCTCACTCAGTTCTAAGACAGCCTCTTCTACGAAGCCTTTCTCCAGCTAAAAGTGTTCTCTCTTTCCAGAAATTTTCCTAATACAGTCTGATACTCTCTTTTTTTTTGTCATTTTCTAAGTGCTTGTTGAATAGTTAATATGGAAATGTTTTGCATGACTTCACATGTATAATGAGTATCACAATGCTCACCTTCTCAATGGGTGCAGGAGGAAGTGGGGGAAAAAGAAAGAATATGTAACTGAAAACTTAAAAACAAATGTTTAAAAACAGAAATCTAAAAAGATCTTTAAAAAAATGATTATAAACTTACTGATGTTTTCTCTCTTCTATTCTACTTTATATTATTTGTATTTATGTACTTCCTGTATCCCTGTTAGTAAACCATAAACTCCTTGAGGGCAGTGCTATGTCATTTTTCATCTTTGTATCCTCAGTGCCAACACAGTGCCTTACACAAAGCAGGTGCTCAACAAATGTTTGTCAAATTGTTTAGCTGAATTAATAGGGTATCATGGCATCATTGGTACTATACCTGGTTCCATGGGTTTTCTTTGGACTTCTGGTGTAGGAGAACTTTACATGATTTGTATGCTTTTTTTTTTTAACATTTTACATCTTTATAGAATCACTCCTATTCAGAAAAGTAAAGGAAATGGGATAGAAAAATAGATTCAGAGGAGGTTCATGCAGGGTCCTTTTAGGTTGTTACAGAAGTACTGTATTAAGTGGACTACCTGTGGTCTGAATATCTTTCCCTCACTTATTATTGAAAAATAAATTGGCACCAAGTACGAATGTAATTTCACAGTCCATGTGACTAATTAAAATATGTGAATAATGAACCAAATCCTCCAGTGCCCAGGTTGGTCTAGATCAGGTGTAGTTGTCTTGGAAGAAAGAAGTGATACTCAAAATAACATCAACAAATTAGATAAATGAATCTTCAGCATCAAAATTATAACCTGTAGTTTCATATATCACATAGAAAAACATAAAGGAAAAACAAACTAAAAATACACATTGGCTAGACACAAATGTAGCAAAAAAGATGGAGGGGGGCTTGCGTAGGAAGATCTTGAGATCATAGATAGTAGTCAAGACTGAATTAGACACAAACGCAGACATCAGTAGATAGAGCAGCAGGTCTGGCCTCAGGAAGGCCTGAATTCACATCTGGCCTCAGACACTAGCTGTGTGACCCAGGGCAAGTCACTTCACTTGCCTCAGTTTCCTCATCTGTAAAATGGGGATAATGATAGCACCTACTTCCCAGGATTGTTATGAGGACAAAATGAGATGATATTTGTAAAGTTTTTAGTACAATTTCTGGCACATAGTAGGTATTATACAGATGTTAGTTATTATTAATATTATTCACTAACTTTTGCCCTAAAACCCAGTTTACTTTAAGGCCATGGAGAAATTAGAAAGGGAAAATTGCCAAAACAACGGAATGAAAAATAGAATTTATAATGAAGCACTAAAAATAAATTGAGGGGAGGGGAATTGATACAAATATGTAAAAAAAAGTCATTCTCCAACTAATAAATGGTCAAAGGATATGAACAGTGAATTATCAAAAGAAGAAATTTAAACTACCAATAATCATGTGAAAAATGTTCCAAATCACTAATAATGGAAATGAAAATTAAAGCAATTCTGAGATCCCACCTCACACCTGTCTGATTGGCAAAGACGACCAAAAAATAAAATGATGGTTGTTGAAGGAACTGTTGAAGGACAAACACGCTAATGTACTCTTAGGCAACCTGTGGTTTGGCCCAATTATTCTAAACAGCAATTTAGAACTATAACAAAAAAAAGTCACTACACTATACATATCCTTTTATCCAGTGATATCACCAGTAGGCATAAAGAGATCAAACAGAGAAAGAACCATATACACAAAAATAGTGATAGCAGCGTTTTGTGATATCAAACAACTGGAGAGAAAGCAAGTGTCCACTGATTAGGGAATAGCTGGACAAATTAGGGTATATAGAGAATGGAATGTTATTTTGCCATAAGAAATGACAAAAGAGATGTGTTCAGAGAAACTTGAAAAAATTTGTGTAAACTGATGTGGAGTGAAGTGATCAAAACCAGGAGAACAATGTATACAATGACTACAACACTGTAAAAGAAAAAAACTTTGAAAGACCTCAGATCTCTTATCAATGCAATGAGCAATTTGAAAGAAGGGAGAGAAAGAGAGAGAGAAGGAGGAAGGAAGATGGTTCTCAATTCTTGGCAGAGAGATGATGGATTCTAGGTACACTATGAAACATTTTCATAAACAACCAATGTATAAATTTGTTTGGCTTGATTATACTTATTTGTTATGAGAGAAATTTTGTTATTTGGAGAGAGAATCAGGGGATGGTAGTAATAAGGATGCAAAAAAAAAGAAATGAAACATTTAAAAAAGCTGCAGAAGAAAGTTCAGAAGGGGACCCAAGCAGTGGAATATTGGTGCTACCATGTCAAATTTAACATATACTTTTAAAGATCCATTTATTGGTGAGAGAGATTCATTGTTTCATATACAATCCTCTTTTCAGTTCTTTATTATGGAAAAGTTTGTGTTTGTTGTTTGTCAAGCTCGTAAAGAAAATTTGGAGGAAAACAAGAGAGTTATATAGGTAGTAATTTAGGTAAGTATAAAGAACAAAACAAGAAAAGTTTCTTATACAGAGAAAATTCATGTTATGTGAAATGTGTTGTTAAAATATTTGTACTTTCCACCATAATTATTATGACTCTGGAAAAAGCCCCAAATGATTTAATTATCATTAGAAGCAATAATGATAAATTCAGATCATTTAGTCTAAAAGAAAATGAGTTAAAGAGTGAAGTCTTCAGAAAGTAAAGAGCAGTAATAAAGGAAATGCTAACCAACTGCTTTCCATGTCATCAAAGAAGTGGACAGTTGGAGAAGTGTAAAATAAAGTTACTGAAAAGCTCCCTGAACAAAACAAAAAACCTGTTAAACTCTGGAACAGGCTGCCAAGGGGAGAGGTAGAATTACCTCCTCTTGTGTGCTTTAGCAAGATGAAGGTTAAATATCTTTCGTATGTTGCTAGATGTATTTTGTATTTTAGAGGAGTTGTGCTAGGTGATATCTTAATATTCCTCCCAATTTTTCTAATTATGTTCACACTCACACCCAATCATCTAAATTGCCTTTTTTTTTCCTTCACAGTGACACTCAAGCTAAGCTTGTCTACAACTAACAATGAATAACTTCCAGGATACTATGGATCACACACAAGAAAATGAAATTCTTGTAGCAACCCAAACATATTCTGTGGAGCGGCCCATCTATAGCTATCCAGCCCTACATGGGAAGCTACACAAAAAGGACAAGGTTCCTGACCCTATCGGAGATAAGATAAAACGAGCTTTAAGGTAGTAAGTTTGTACACTGGGTATGGAAAAGAGGGTTGAGGTATTTGGTGTAGTCTGTAATAAGTCTTTGTGATATGTAAGACCTGTGGTCTAGAGAAGTTCTGTTCGTTGAGATAAAGACAAATGAATGGTGGACACTTATAATTTAGAAAGCCATTTGTACCATTCCTGTTAGTGGTGGCTGTATGAGCGTGTAAATAATGGCACGTAGAAACAAAAGAACAGGGATTGGGATTTTGAAGGCACTTTAGAGGTAATCTAGTCCAACCCCCTCATCACTGTACAGTTGAGGACACTGAAGTTAAGAAGGGTTAAGCGACTCCTTTTAGCAGATGTCATCTTGAATGAAGATAGTGGCATCTGAGGCCCTTCATAACTTAGGCCCCTCCTGCCTTTCCAGTCTTCTTGTACATTACTTCCCACCATGTGTTCTTCAGTCCAGTAACACTGGCCTCCTTGTTTTACCACTAATTAGATACTCCATCTCTTGGCTCTGGGTATTGTCTCTAGCTGCCTCTCATTCCTGAAATGTTCCTCTTCCTCATCCCTGCCTACAGACTTCCCTGGCTGTCCCAACTAATATCTCGTTTTCTACAGGAAGTCTCTCCCAAACCCTCTTAATTCTAGTGCCTTCCTTCTTGATTTTTTTTTCTATTTATTCCCTATATAACTTGTTTGTACATATTCATTTTCTTGTCCCTCCATTAAATTGTGTGCACTTTGAGGGCAAGGATTATCTTTTACGTCTTTTTGTATTCCTGGCTCTTACCACAGTGCCTAGAACTTAGTAGGCTCCTAACAAATGTTTATTGACTGCCTGAGTGACTAGTGGTAAGGACTAGGCCTGTGATTTCATTGGTATAGGGAATTTCCAGATAAGGAAACTTTCTCTACCAATGTAGGTCAGCATCTTTTCTGCAAATTATTCTCTTGGAAAATTGCCTAGATAGAGTACTGAAAGAAGATAAAGTCCAACAGCCATTATGGGTCAGAGACAAACCTGAATAAGCATCTTGAATATGACTGTTTATCAAGTGCTTACTACATCGGGCCTATATGTTAGAGTTTGTGAACAACTGGCTCTGTGCTTCCCAACTATCAACGTAACTATCCACCTCCACTCCCTTTCTCCCTAGAATTTCCCTGCTAAGCCTCTTTTCTCATCCTTTCCCTAATTTCTTCACCATTTGGTAGCATCCTTAGGTTTTATCAAAGAACCCCAGGGTAGAAGGACCACTCATTTTGGGAAGCACTTTACCTAGGCAATAACAAGCCTAGAGATACTAACATACCCTTTGGTAAATTTTGTCCTGAAAAAGCTATTTACAAGATACCACAAAATGTGACTGTATTGCCTCCTACTTTGATTGATAATCAATGTTTACGTCTTCAATTACAGACCTACATTTACTATCGGAAGGTAGGGATGAGTCAAGCAGGCAAGATTCAGGTTCCCTGGAGTATTTCTATTAGCTCTGACTTGTCTCAAATAGTACATGTCGGTACATTATTGCGAAAATAATCCCGAGGAAAATAAAAAAGCAAAAAGAAATGGTTCATTGCCAAAATAATAATAAATTCCAGTCTTTTGCTGACACCTTATTAAGTCAAAATTCCAGTTGCTGAAGCCCCAAATTAGTTCCAATGGGATAACTACTAACTAATCATGCTAAAAAAAAAAAGACCTGTTGTTGAGAAGTAAAAGACAGGACTTAGAAAAGTGAGCTCTGATTCCATTTTTTTGCTGTTTTAATGGTCCTGCATCTCCAGGGCCCATCAGATCCCTCATTACCTCAAAATTTAGTACTGGAGACTTGTTCCTGTTGGTGTGGGTGGCAAGGAATATAATTTTAATTGTTTTTCTTTTACATAGGAATATTTCATTAATAGCAGTAAGTAATGAATTCTAAAGGGGGTATTCTGTTCTAATTTTTTTAGAAATGGAAAAGGATGTATAAGAAAATTATGTAGATTTTGTATTTGTAATAAATATTAGTCAATCCTCTTAGTGAAAGGATTTAGGATCCTTTTAAACTTTCATAAAGTAGACAATCACAGCCAAAATAAGAAGAGAAATAGGAACAGGTATGATCTATATTGTTCATGTCCACTCAATCACATTAACAAATCCAAGTGAAGGTGATAGGCAGCAGGCTATAATAAAAGTAGCATGTACTAGGAGGTGGGAGACTTGGGTCCTGGAAGTGATGTTTTAAAAAGTTTTTGATGAAATAAAAAAATCATGGGAATGATATAAAATATTTGTGTAATGAATATGAACTATTATGAAACATAGAGAAAAAAGGGAAAAATAATGAATTAAAAGCATGCAACTTTTAGAGATTTCTGACCCTTCAGCATCACAATAATCATAGGGTCAGGTACACAGTATTAAAAACATGAAATAGAAACAGCTTAAAAATATGTATTGGCTAGATACAAATATAGCAAAAGGTGGGAATGGAGATAAGGTCAGACTTATTAACTGTATGATTTTGGATAAGTCATTTTACCTCTGTGCTCCTTAGTTATCTCATTTGAAAGATGGAGATAATAAATATCCTCCTGTCTGAAGACAAATGCTAGATCAAATGATCTCTTGAGTTCCTTTACAACTCAGAGATCTGTGATTCTAGGTGAGCAGTTTTTTCCAGAATACCCTTTATTTAATTAATAGATACAGTTAACCACTAGAGGGCACACTGTACAAAACACAGTTCACGGAACAATCAAAATGTCCTGCTTTTTCTACATAACAATAATATCGACACGTCAACAAAATGGTACATGGATTTTAAATCTTATAGTGGTGGTGGCAGATGTACTCTGGTCCTTACACATTCTTTTGCTTTATTCCTTTTAAGATCAATTGCAACCTTAATTTAAACAGATCAGGTCCCACACCTGCTTCACAAATTCACCTAGGATGCATTCTACCTAGGACAATAGATTAGGTTTCCTGCTCTTACACCTTAGGCAACCTCTCTTAGTCTTGTGTCCTCATCTCATGTCACCAAACTGTCTTTGACATTCTTTTCTACCTTTCCTCCTGAGTGGAAAAATATGCATCGTGTCTGTCTTCAGCTTAGCTTACTCAAGTCTTGAGTTTAGTTTACCAGGCTTCTTTTGTAGTATTTCTCATTGGCTTCTAAATGAAACCTCTACTCTTTTTCAGAGTCAGCTACAGATCATTGATCATAGCACTAACTTGGCTTCCCTCATAAAGAAAATGGTTCTAACAGACAAATATTTCAGTTCTCTAACTTGTTAAGGGTGGGGAATGTTATCCAGAGCACAAATTTTATGTATATTCTATTAAAATAGAATACAGGCAAGAAATGTCTGCTGTTATAAATTTTACTAAGTTATATGTTACTAACTTGTCTTTTGTCTCCCTTTGTCTTTTCCAGCTGTACTCCTAAGAAAATAAGGAATATTATCTATATGTTCTTGCCCATATGTAAATGGTTGCCAGCTTATAAACCAAGGGAATATGTATTTGGGGACTTTGTCTCAGGTATAAGTACAGGGGTGTTACACCTTCCTCAAGGTTAGTAAAACACAACTCATGTTTATTCTACTATCTCAAATAACTGTCTGCTTTTAAAATACATGACTTCCTCCTTTTTATATGTTCCATTACGATTTGTACTCATGTATAAACCATATTTTATATCATTCTCATGACATTTTTTTAACTACTCCTAAAAACTTTTTTGAAAATTACTTTGTGGAAAAAAAAAACAATGAAGATGGAACATGGCATAGCAGATAGGGAGGCAACCTCAGAATCAGAAATGAATGAAAAGGCATTTACTAAGCACCTGATATGCACACAACACTACACTCAGTGTTGGGGATACAAATAAAAAAGCAAGGTAGCCTCTGCTTTCATTTAACTCGCAGTCAATTAAGGGGAGACAACATGTATGGGGTGGTTCAACTGCAAATCAGATGGGAAGGCACGGTGATCCTTAGGGTTCAGTGGCATGGCAGATGGTAATATATCTTCTTTTGTGTTGTTTGCATTAATAAAACTATACCTATTTCTGATGTTTAACAATGACTTTGGCAGTGAGAACTTTGTTTTCTGGGTCTCCAGTAGTCTTCAGTGGCATGCTTTCTGAAAAAGTAAGGGCTATAGCTCTTGCTGAGGAAGTTGGCAGGACTGTGTTGCCAATTGCCTCAGCATATACCTGATTCATAGACAAATAAATAGATATGTGTGCATATATATATATATATATATACACACACACACACATGCCTGTTGTATCTATGCATATATACATGTACATGTGTACTCACACATGTGTATAAGTACATGCATGCATGTATACATACATATACTGCCTTTGTGACCCTGGGCAAGTCACAAAAGCTACTCTTTATAGGATCATAATTTGAAAACAGTCTCACATCTACATTGTTAGAAGGAGCCTCCTCACTGAAGACTCTGCAAATCTGTGAAGTCACGAGAGGTTTAAAAAAACCATATTTGAAAGAAAAATATATCTATTCTAACTACAGCTATATAAAGACAATGTTAACTACAACTGTATAAATATAATACTAACTAGAGCTACATAAAGAAAATACTAACAGCAACAGAATTTATTTCAAATATATATGATGACCTTGATAAAATTAATATACATCTTTCATTCCTTTTAACAATTAGCAAGAAATAAAAGTGTACAGTTATATGTAGTCATTTACAATCACTTTTAGGTTTTGTTTTGTATTTTCTTTTGTTCTGTTTATACATGTAATTGCTGATATAAGTGAAGAAACAATTTATTGTATTTTAAAAAAAAGCTAATCCTCATGAAGTCCCAGGATAGTGAGAAATGGGGAAATGGTATATGGTAATATTGATTCCATAGCTATAAAACCTGACAGGTGGGTCTTACCCAGAGCCATACTGAGTCATTCAATCAACAGATACCTGTTGAGTACTTGCTATACATAGGGATATACCTTTTAGAGGTCTTTGAGGGTTTTTTCCCAACTGTCTGGTGCAAATTATAAATATTTTTAAAAATTCAAGGAAATATTCCAAAATGAGATATACTATGAAGAAAATGTTTGAAGTACTCATGAGGTCCCAAAGTTTATTTAAGAAGCAAATAAAAATGTAGCTGAATTACCAGTGAATAGAAAATGTTTTCAAGATTTCAGGAATGGAACTAAATTATCATCAATTTAGTAGAATAATCTCAGTAGTTCAGAGATAATAAGATGAGGAAAAGGAATTGTAAAGGAGGTCTGGACACTTTCGGAATGTGAAAAGGAAAGAGTGAAATTTGAGAGGACTTGAGGATTCCAGTTGTAAGAATAACAGAAAAATCTAACAAGAAGAGAAAAGAAGTTGGTAACACCAGGGATGAAAAGTAGGATGTGTCTGTGAAGATACTAATAGCGTAAGAGGATACTAACAGAAGTGAGAATGGAAAGTGAGAATTCCAGAGTTGAAACACTCAACCAGACAGTTTCCACAGCATTTCTCCAACAGTTAGACCCAAGAGCTGCAGGAAAGAATGACCAAAGACTGAGGCTCTTTTAGAAAGTGTGGAGAGTAGGTATAATTATTCAATGACCTACATAGTATGTGCAATGTTTGCCTTGCTGCTTTAGCCAAGTAATGCTTTCTTAAAAGAGAAGGCAGATAGACTTGAGGAATGATTTTTCCTTCTCCAGATCGTCAGGAAAAATGAGGTGTTCCTTCAAAAAGGGGAACAAAAGCTTCAATGTAACAGGAGAAGAAAGAGGAGGAGGAGGAGACAGCAGCTACTGTGATGGCTAAGGGAAATTGTTATGCAGTAGAAAGAGCACTGAACCTGGAGTCAGAGAACCTGACTTCTAATTCTGACTCTGCCACTTAATACCTGTGTGATAAGTCACTTAACCTCTCTGGGTTTCAGTTTCCTCATCTGTAAAATGAGAAGTTTTACCAGATAATTTCTAAGGAATTTCTAGCTCTAATATAGGGTCCTAAATACTTTGGAGCTAAGTAATAGATATGAGATTCTTCCTAAAGAGGAATGATGTGGACCATCTAAGAGAAAGTAGCTGCTTGTCTTCCAAGGAATGATGATGGAGATGTATCTATAGGTACTGTCAGCTAACAGATCACCCTGTAAGAGTCAGAAGAAGAAGAGATTAATAGTGGTAGTTGCTAACTCCACACTAAGGGCTACTGAGGCTGCTATCTGTCGTTAACAATAATAAGATGATCCTGTTGTCTTCTGGAAACATATACCTAAGATTTGATGGCAGACTCAGTCAAACCAAATGATTCCACACAATGGTCATGTCCAAAAACATGTGCCTCTTTCTGTACCTTGTGTCCATCACCTGTCTATCAGAAGGTGGGTAGCATGCTTCATCATAGGTCCTCTAGAGACATAGTTGGTCATTTCATAAGTCTTTTTTTTTAATAAGTTATTTATTTTGAGCTTTCAACATTCACTTCCATAAGCTTTTGAGTTTTAAATTTTCCTCCCTCTCCCTCCCCACCTCCCTCAACAAGACAGCGCACAATCTGATATAGGCTCTACATATACATTCCTATTAAACATTTTCACATTTGTCACGTAGTAAAGAATAATTAGAACCAATAGGAGGAACCACAAGAGAGAGGAAACAAAACAAAATAGAAGAAAAAAAGAGCAAATAGTATGCTTTGATCTGCATTCAAACTCTATAGTTCTTTCTCTGGATGTGGATAGCACTTTCCTTCATGAGACTTTTGAAGATGTCTTAGATCCTTGCATTGCTGAGAAGAGGTAAGTCTATCAAAGTTAGTCATCGCACAATGTGACTGTTGTGTACAACATTCTCCTGGTTCTGCTTACTTCCCTCAGCATCAGTCCATAAAGTCTTTCCAGGTTTTTCTGAAGTCTGCCTGCTCATCATTTCTTACAGCACAATAGTATTCCTTTACATTCATATACTACAACTTGTTCAGCCATTCCCCAATTGATGGGCATCCCTTCGGTTTCCAATTCTTGGCCACCACTAAAAGAGCTGCTATAAATATTTTTGTACATGTGGGTCTTTTTCCCATTTTTTATGATCTCTGGGATACAGCTCTAGAAGTGCTACTGCTGGGTCAAAAAATATGCACATCTTTATAGGCCTTTATGTGCCCTTTGGGCATGGTTCTCCATTGCTCTCCAAAATGGTTGGATCAGTTCACAAGAGTTCCTAAGTCTTCAAATATGTCTTCCTTGTCCGTGAATACATTTTTTCCTCACTTCACTGTGCATCAGTTCATGAATACCAGGATTTTCTCAAATCATGTTTTCTGAAATCACGATTTCTTCCAGTGTAAATTCCAGTGCGATTTGTTCAACCATTCCTCAGCTGTCTAGATGGTTCTAGAGGAGAAAGTGAGACTGGTGACATTGCACAACCCTCCCTCACTTAAATTCAATTCACTTGCATGTCATGGGAATCACCTCCATGATGTCATGGTCCCCTTCCCTCCCCTCCCCTTCCATTCCCAAAATGTCACAAGATATCTTAGGGTTTACAGGCCAGATTTCTTTCTTAAGGACCATGCCTTAAATTCAAATCATTCTGGCTGTCACTAATTGGCCAACGATAGGTCCCAGACAAGACAATTTAAGACATTCCCTTATGTTCTAGTTATTTGCTTTCCTTTATTTTATCCCCCCTTTAATGATAAGGAAGTTTGTTTTGCTTTCAACTATTTCCCCTTTAGTATTATTCTTCCATTGAATCTTGCTCCTCCTTATCATTAGTTATCTTCCAGTTTCATTTAATGGATTTCTACACCATATTGTGTGTGTGTGTGTGTGTGTGTGTGTGTGTGTTCAACCATCCTTTGTCTCTTTCATATGAGAATGAAATTCATGTGATGCCTTTTCCCTCACCCCTTCCTTCCTGTTTATATAGTCTTTTCACATCCCCCTGTTATAAGAAATAATAAGTTCTACCCCTTACTTCCTCCCCTCTATATGGGTGTACTCCTTTTTTTGTTCTTTCTTTTTCCCCTATTCCCTCACAACAGAACCAACTCTACCCCAATATATGTTTTTCTTAACTCCTTCAGTATCCTTTGAATATACATTAAGGTTCTGGAGGGACACATTTCTATTTCCCCTGTTACAGTGTTGTCGCTGCATCATCATATAGTTCTTTCTTCCTTATTTGAGCCTAAGCTCAAATAAATTTACCTTCCTAGGTTTGTTTTGACTCAGGTTTATATTTCAATTCTCCTTTGTACAGTTCAAATGAGAGTAATATTCATATGATGCCCCACACCTCTTTCCCCATCTTCCATTTTTATAGCTTCTCATGTACCTCAATGATTAAAAAAAAAGTTCTTACTCATTTCTTCCCTAAGGTATTATTTTTTCCTTACCTATTCTTGCCTGTATTAAGACCATTAAAACAGAATAAAACCATCCTCAATCCGTCTTTTCATCTTGTTTAATAACTTATGTGATTCTTGAAGTTATGTTAGGATTCTCATGAGATACCTGTCTCTTCCCACTCTGTTAGAATGTAAAATGTAAAAACTTCATCATCATGTAGGCCCTGCCAATAGTTCAAGTGTATTTAGCTTTTTAGGTTTCTCTGGACTCTTGTGTTTGTATTTTAGAGTTTTTAATTATCTCAAGTTTTTTGTTGTTTTTTTTTTCCATCAGGAAAGCTTGAAAGCCCTCTTTTCATTAAAGGTCCATTTTTTTCCTGTAACATTACATTCAGTCTTCCAAGGCAAGTTAATCTTGGTTGTTACTTTTTACCTTTTCTCTTTTGGAATGGTTTATTACAAAATTTTCTCTCTTTTATAGTAATAGCTACTGGATCTGGTATGACAAAGGTGTCAACAATGTGGATGCAGCCCAAAGCACTCCTTCCTATCACATAAACCAAATTGAAATGTAATTGGGAAATATTTAACAAAATAAAAATATAATAAAATACAGATATTATTATGTTTTAAAACTAAATCAATATGTGGCCCATAGGGATCTTATTGCACAAATTAATGGCTTCCATTTCTCTTTGAGTTTTACACCACTATTGTGTGATCCTAAATATTGTTCCTCAGTACTTGAACTCTTTCTTTCTGGCTGCTTGCTTTATTTTTTCTTTTGACCTGAAAGTTCTGGATTTTGGCAAGAAAATTTTTGAGAATTTTCATTGTGAGCTTTTTTCTGGAGATGATTGGTAGATTCTTTCTATTTTGACTTGGCCAGCTAGTCCTAATAAATCTTGGCAGTGTTAATTTATGATTTCTAAAAATGTGTTATATAGTCTTTGTTTTTGGTAATGGTTTTCAGATAGTCCAATAATTCTTAAGCTACCCCTCCTTGATCTATTTTCCAAGTCAGGTATTTTTTATAGTACATATCTCATGTTTTCTCTTATTTTTTCAAACTTTTTATTTTTTTCCCAATATTTTTTATTACCTCATGAAGTCATTGAGTCCATTGGGTTCATTCTCATTTCTGTGGAGTCCAGTACTTTCCATATCCTATTCTGAGCACTTATTCTCCTTCCTCCAGAGCTCACTCTTCAGTTATCATTCTTCATTTCTTCTAGGTATGTAGTCCTTGACACTAAGCCATTGTTTTCTTTGAGTCTCAACCTGTAATTGTTGTGAAGTTACTTTCTTCTGAGTTTCTTTTTTGGCCAACTCTTGACCTACACTATTTCTTCATAGCATTTGGTATCTTCTGTCTACTCATATCTTCAGTGTCAGTTCCTAGTTTATCATTTTTGTCAGGCTCAGGCTTGACTCCCTGCTACACTCTGGAATGGTGGGGTAGTTGGATCGTGTTAATTCTGCCTCCACTTTCCAGACTGCTGCTGCTGACTTTCACTTCCCTTCCTGTGTCTGGACTCAAAGTTCTGGCATTATCCCCATCAGTTTTGTGATTAATTGTCCCTAGTCAGCATGCTACGCATGGACTACTGCTTTTTCTCCATCGCTGGTGGTGTTTTCTCAATCAGGGTGCCCCCTGGGGTTTCTCTGGTCATTGCATTGCTATGGTCTGCTACTCCCCTTGGGGCTTTCCTAAAGGCAGGGTGCTTTGCTTCTAGGATCCTTTGTCATGACACTACTATGGTCTGCTGCCCCCTGCAGGGGTTTTTCGACTCAGGACATTATAGCTTCCAGCCTATGCCCTCCTGGCTTCTTTGGCATCCATGTCCATGGCTTCTGGTTATATTTTCAGTTCAGGCTTGGTCTGGATGAAGAAACTTTTGAAGTTCTCTTTAGAATTTTTGTTTATTGTTCAATCTGTTTTTAGATCATTGGTGGAGAAAAATAGGAGAGTTGGGCTGCTCCTCCCCTTTCACATAACCTTCTTCACCAGAAACCTTGATTGACTAGGGGTTGATAGTACTGCTCTCTTCTACTCTGGTCAAACCACATCTGGTGTATGATGTTCAATTCAGACTGCCACATTTTACCAGGGATGTTGATGACCTGGAGAGTATCCAGAGGAGGGTAACCAACACATTAAAGGACTTTGAGATCATTCTCTATGAGGATCGTTTGAATTAATTAGCAATATTTAGCCAGGAGGAATAATGGATAAAAGTTAGAAAGAAAGAGACTTGAGCCTGATGTAAGGAAAATCTTTCTACAATTGGAGCTTTCATAAAGTATTCTGGGGTGCTTCTGGAATTAAGGGCTTCCCCTCACTTAGAGATTAGCAAACCCTGTATGGCCACTTACATAACATAAGGGGTGTCATGCAGGGGATTCTTCTCCATGTATGTTGGTTTCTTAAGTGCTAATTTTGAGATTGTGTGTGTGAATTCCAACATTAGTATAAACAAAGGAACAAATTATTTCTGTATGTGAAATATAGCGGGGAGTATGTTAAACTTTTTTTTTCCCTTAGAATTTTTTTCTTCTTGAGAACTAAACTCTGTTGGTATTTGACAGAGCATTGGCCTAATTATTTTAATAATCTTGACAACTGTCTTCAAGACCTAAATTGTAGCACTGTACAAGGGAAACTCACTTTACAAAATAGATATCTTCCTAAAAAGTTGTGTTAATTTTTTTTTCTTTGCAGGTTGAATAAATTAAAATAGACTAGAGGACTTCATTGTTCAAAAAAATGTTATAATGAGTTCTTTTAAAAAAACAAATAATCACCCCTTAAAGTATTTGTTTTTATGTTTTAATTGTTCATATAGAGATTTTTTTAAACTCATGAACTTTTTAGAATTTTAAGACTTGGATTTTCTGGTTACTTACACCTACAATTATGTCACTGGGAATAAAGAACCTTTAAATGTGAGTTCATCCACTATATTTTATGAATGTTTCTTTTTCTTTTCTTTTTTTTCCTTTTTTTTGCATCCCTTAGGTTTAGCTTTTGCAATGTTGGCAGCTGTACCTCCAATATTTGGCCTGTATTCTTCATTTTATCCTGTTATCCTATATTGTTTTTTTGGAACTTCCAGGCACGTCTCCATAGGTAAAAGTTTACATTTGATCATTGAGAAATTTTATTTTCTACCATAGTATGCTACACCATCAATAAGATTATTGTCAGTTCTTAATTGTATACCTCTATTATTAAATACTCAACAAGTCTAGTATAGTACTTTTGGGGAAAACTTTCATATGGTCTCAAAATTCAACAAAGTATTCTCACTGTCTTTGAAAAAAGCGTCAATTTTATCATGTAAGAGGGCAATTTGTTGAAATATGTAAAATAAAATAAAAGTTAAATTTCATAATACAAAGTTTTCATGTATATAAATTTAAAAATTAAAACCATAATGATAAGCCATAGCTCCTAATTACTATGAAGGTATAAAATACCAGTTTCATCCACCAAAGAGAGATTACAAAAGAGTCCACATCCAGTGAAAAGCTCCTGTGAACTTTAGGATTCTGTCACTCTGTGTTTCTATATTATATGCCCTATATGAGTCAGTCAGTCAATAAGCATTTATTAAGCACCTACTATGTGCATATATACACACATACATATTCCTTCTATAATTAAGGTTAAGATATTAACCTAGATAGGCAAAGTTTTCAGAATAATATATACTATTGTCCTACCTCTTTCCTTTCTCTCTCTCTCTCTCTCTCTCTCTCTCTCTCTCTCTCTCTCTCTCTCAAAGCATTTTTCTAAATACAAGGCTAGTGGTTAAAATAATAATAGCTGCTACATGACATAAAAAAGATATTTCTTGATAGCAATAAAATGATATATTTTACCTAAAAGTAGGTGAAATTAGAATTGAAAACAATTTCCTTGGACTCAAGGAAAGTAAATTTATATTAACCACTGGATATGTCATTACTTTAGGGCCCTTTGCTGTGATTAGCCTGATGATTGGTGGAGTAGCTGTCCGATTAGTTCCTGATGACATGTACGTAGGTGGAGGAGGTGCTAATTCAACCAATGGTACAGAAGAAAGAGATGCTATGAGAGTAAAAGTTGCCATGTCAGTGACTTTGCTTTCAGGAATCATTCAGGTGAAATTCTCATTGATGGAGCAGTTGGTTTGGATTTAAAATGTCAACCTGTTGAGTGCTAATTATACCAGACAGAAGCAGTCTGTCAGCACATAACATATCCATTCATTCAATAAATATTAATTAATCCCTATATTCAGAGCCTCTGCCACATACTGGCTATGTCATCCTGGGTGAGTCACTTAGTTTCTCAGTACCTCTAGGTAGTTTTCTTAGACTATGTTTTTAAACAGTTATCTTTACGCCTTGGTAAATGGACAGTCCTCACCAAGCGTCCCTGCACCAGTGAAATCTCAGGTCCAAACAAAGAAATGTCCAAGTCACAGAGCTAGGTGCTAGGGATGAACAAAATGCAAAACTAATCTTGCCCCCAAGCAACTTACAATCTAATGCAAAGGGTGGTTGCACATAAATAACAAATCTTGGGTAATACTTAAAAGAGAGTACATCATACATTCACATACACAGTCACACACAATAATCTAGCACTTATTGCACAACCAGTAAGTGACTTCAGTTAGACTGCTTGCTCTGTGACAGGTAGAATTTCATCATGATCTCTAGGAGAGGCAGTGGAACACTGATTGAGTGACTGAGCTCAATGATTGAGCCCTGGACCTCCAATCAGAAGAACTGAGTTTGAGTTTTGGCTCTGTGTGGCTGGGGACAAAGCACATAATCTCTCTAAATTTTAATTTCCTTATCTGTGAAATGGGTATATACCACTTGTTCTACTTCACAGAGTTGTTTTCAAGATGAAAAGACATAATGTCTGCCAAGTGCTTTGTAACTGTAAAATATCTGTCTTAGCTGTAGCTCTGTGTATGTCTATGTATGTATAAGAATGTGAGCCATTGTTGTTACTGTTTTTAAATGTCTGATCTGTTCAATGGTATGCTTCTCTTTGCCATTAAAAATTAGTTTTGCTTGGGTGTCCTGCGGTTTGGATTTGTGGCCATATACCTAACTGAGCCCTTAGTCCGTGGTTTCACGACTGCAGCAGCTGTACACGTCTTCACTTCCATGCTAAAATATCTGTTTGGAGTGAAGACAAAGCGACACAGTGGACCCTTTTCAGTTGTCTATGTAAGTAAGCTGGTTCAATTCTTCTCAGCCTTCACATTTCCTCTTTTTTACTTCTAAGAATTTTTACAATCAGGAAAAAAAATCTTTTTTTCCAAGAAAAGCACAGTAAAACAAAATGTATCTCTAGAATTCCTTGAACGTATGTATGTAGTTGGGGCATAGAGTTCTGTTTAGCTTGATGGTGCATCTTTAGCCTGACTATTCTGATTCACAGACCAAAATTGTAAGAGTTGTTGTTACAAAATGTTTTCTCTTTATGAACTATAAGTTAAAATGTGCAGCTGTTCAAGAGTCTTCTCTGAGTAAATGAGATTTATTAAAGCTGTTCTGCAGCCTTTATTGAAATTGTTATGAGTCACTTTCCTTAAACTTGGTTGACAGGATTTTTTAAATATATGCTACTGTGTGCAGCATATGAGGCATTGTGGGCAGTGATAAAAACATGGGCCTTACCCTCAAAGAATTTACAGAGACATAAAAATGTACATAATTTCTGTATAATACAGATAATAGATAATAGAAATATGTACATGTATATATGTATATATGTGTGCATGTTTCAAAAACAGTTACATATATACCCAAGTAAGTATGCGAATGTATGAATTAATCACAAATTACGAGTCAGAAACAAGTAAACTTTTCTATAACCTATCTTGCATGCATTAGATTAGATCAGAAGTGACAAATTTGCTGGCCCACCAAAAAGTGTGGCCCAACCACATTAAAATATAATTGGGAAATGTTTAGTAAAAATCAATTAAAATACAATACAATGAAAGTAATGTTAGTTTGTGACTTTCTAAGGTAATATGAAGCCCACAGGGATCTACAGCTAACTACAGGGATATGGGAGCACTCTGGAAACAAACAAAAAAAAACAGCTAAATGATGGTGAATTCATTTTCAGTCCTTAAGTATCACCACAGAGATAAGTGAATACAGATTTCATTGGTTATAAAAAATTAAATTTTGTAGTTGAAACAAGGTACTTAAGGAATCCCACATTTCAGCGAGGGACCAGTTACAAAATACTAGGACATGAGGATAATGAGCTCCATGTATCAGTCACAGTTTGATTTACTTGCCAGATATTTCCCCAATATCTTGTGTGTATTATTAAAATGATTCAACTAAACCTTTCAATATGTTTAAGTGTTCATTTGTATGTAAACAAGACATATGATGAAACATAATGCCGAGTCAACTTTTCTTTGTTCTTAATCTGTTTTTTTCTAACTTTGAAAGCTGCTTTAAGTTTTTCAGGTCTCTAGGATAACTTTGCTCAAGGCAGTAATTTATTGAACCCCAATTATCTGAAGAAATTATTGTAGTTTTCTAGCACTGCCTAACTAACTGTCAGATGGAAATATCGGATTTTATTAAGAAAGTGTTGGAGGATTTTAAATGTAATGGTGTTCAAAAGAATTTTAAGGGCAAAAAAAAATGCTTAAATCCTGAGGAATAGGTAGTCCCATTACAAAGACTATCTAGGACTAATTGTCCTTGTGCTTTTAGGAAAATAATTAATGTGGCTTTTCGTCGTGTCAGCTCCCAGCATCAATTTATTTACTAGTAGCATCTTAAATTCATTACTATCCATGTCCCCAGTATTTTTTTCACTTTTTTTTCTGAATGGAATATAAATTAGATGAATGCCTACTTGTGAATTTGTTTTGCCATGCTTATCTCCCAGGAAACAGGGACAACTTTGTCCTCTAAGACTTAATTTAAAAGAAAATTTTCGTTTGTAAGTGTATGTGTATTATTAATGTATAATCTTTAATGCTCATAGGGACTTGTTTATTTAGTAGCCTCAGAGATTTCTAAGACCTAAAAATGCAACATTTAAAAGAATTTAATTTAAACAATGAATAATTTAACCAGGATATCTTATCTGAAGCTAAATATATTTCAGACTGAATCTGCATTCTACAATCTCAAAATAAAAAGCAAGAGACTCAGTCATCCAGTTGCTTCATCTATATGATGTTAAATATTTATGGTAGTTCTGACTTCTAGATGTTTGGAATCATGTGCTGATTCAATATTCAGTTTTTATCCAAATATTTTGCCATAGTAGTCAGAGCCTTAGATTTTTATTAGAAAAGTGACAGATAACATTTTGTTTATTCTAGGAGCTCTCGTTTTGATTTTATTTGATTGATTACTTTTTATTGGTTAATTTTTAAAATTGATTATTGATTTAATTTATTGATTACTTTTTTATTTTTATTTTTTAAGTAGAGGATCTTATAGTACACTCCCAATTAATTTCAGAGAGGACTAAACTACAGCCTAGAACCTACTGAGACCTTCCCCTCTCACCTCAGACATTTGTTAGCTTTTGATACTATGTAATAAAGTCATTTAATCTCTTGGGCCTCACTATATTCATCTATAAAATGAGGAGGCTGGAATCACTGACCCAAGATTCCTCCCAACTTAAGTTTTAAGGAGGTCAAGGCCTTGAATCGTCTCTCCTAGGTTGGATTTCTCTTCTCTCTAGATTAGCTCTGGGACAGTCCTGGGTTTCAGAAAGAAGTCATTGCCACACTCTGGAGGGCCAGAGATGAGAATAATAGGATACTATAGTAGACATACATAGCAGGAGTAGAGGATCAAGGAGGTATGTAAGTGGGCCTTTTCACCCTTCTTACTCTGCTTTCAGGAGTGACGCACCTGACAGGCATCTTAAAACCCAAATCACTCTAGCTTTCGTTGAATGGCCAATAATAGCCTCAACTCAACCTTCCAAGGTTCGTTGTTTAGCTTTAGACAGATTAGAAAGAGTGTAAATAGCAACTGTTTCCTATTCCCGGCCAGAAACTCTGAGGGTCTTCCCTTCCCAGACTGATATCTTTGTGATGGTAAATTAAGCCATCTTTTGCCTCAACTCTCATCTAGCCCTTAATCATTGAATGGGCAGACAAACTGAGACCTGGGAAAGACCTTATATATTTTAGATGTGAATAAAATAGCAAATATTAAGTAAATGTAAATTAACAAAGCTGATAGTACTTTTAGAACCTACTGTTAAAACAAATAAACTCTAGAATGTAATCAGCTACCTTTTTTTCCACTAACTTAATTATTCTCATTACTAACTTTTTCCCTATTTTTCACTGTATTCAGGATCTTAGAGACTTTAGACTTCTTTCTTTCAGTTTTGTAATTTCCATATCTAAGCTTTATGCTCAGCCCTCTAAATTTCAGAGCTTTAGGTGATCTTAGAGCTCCAGTAACTTCTTTCTCAGCTGCCAACTTTGAATATGACTTCTTTCCCAATCTCTGTATTTCTGTTAATCATTCTTTTTTTTATGTTTTTTCTTAATTCAGTCATCAGTAATCCCAAATATCTCAAGATGCAAAGAAGCAAAACCAAACTTCTGCCATATAAAGTGAATATATATAATGTACATTGTATATAATACATATACATATATACATACCTATAAATCAATCAATCACTAAGTGTTTATATATACAGGCACTTTGCTAAAGGCTGGGGATATAAAAAAAGGCAAAAGACAGTCCTGCCCTCAGGGAGCTTATGATTGAATGGGGGCAATAACATACAAACAACTATGAACAGGATAAATAGGAAATAATTAAAAGGGAAAAGGCACTAAAATTAAGAGAGTTTGGGGAGGCTTTCTGTAAAAGATGGAACTTTAATTGGGACTTAAAAGGAGCCAGGAAAGTCATTAGGTAGTATGTTATGAAGGGCTTTAAATGGCAGAAGACTGTAATTATCCTCAAGGATGTCTTTAGGCTCTGGGCATTTTCTTTGGCTATGTCCCATGCCTAAAGATGGAGCGTCTTGTTTTAGAAACATCAAGGAGACCAGCGTCACTGAATCAGAGTACATGGTGGGAATGAGGTATAAAAAGACTGGACAGGTAGAAGGGGGCTAAGTCATGAAGGGCTTTGTATGTCAAAAAGAGGATTTTGTATTTGATCCTAAAGGCAATAGGGAGCCAGTGGAGTTTACTGAGTGACATCGTCAGACCTGCACTTTAGGAAAATCACTATTGGCTGGATGGAGGGTGGATTGGAGTGGGGAGAAACTGAGGCAGGCAGACACACTAGCAGGTTATTGCAGTAATCCAGGAATCAGGTGATAAGGAGTATCACCAGAGATATGACATTGTCAGAGGAGAAGGGGATATATATTGGAAAGCTGTTGAAAAGGTGAAATCCACAGTCTTTGGCAACAAATGGGATATAAGGGGATATACTTATACATATAAAACCACTTTATATAGAAGAGGTTTATATATATATGTGTGTGTATATGTGTGTGTGTGTGTACTATATATTGTGCACAGACATATATACGCACATATATATTTAATATATATATAATACATACATGTACTTCTCCAGGTAATAATGAATTGTATATTTTTTATTCCTTCTACACATACCCACACTTCCTTCTCTGTAGCTTTTAAAATTATTTATTGATGTTATTTTTCTTCTTCATCTATCATTGCCTGCCTTCTTCCTAGCTTTCCTTTATAATAAATACATATAATGGAACAAAATAAATCAACCTTTTGACCATGTGTGAGATTGCATATATCCATCATCCCTCTACCAAAAGGTAGAAGACATGCTTCATCATCAGGCTTTTGAAGTCCATGTTTTAATCAGAATTCTGAGGTCTTTCAGATTTGTTTTCCTTCACGTTAGTAATAGTCATCATGCAAATTTTTTTTCTGGTTCTGCTCACCTTTTTCTGCATCAGTTTGTTCAAGTCTTTTCTATATTTCTCTGAATCTGTCATATTCCCCATTTCTGAAGGTCCAACAAATTTTCACAGCATTAATAGACCACATTTTTTTCCCACAATTCTTCCCTTGACACGTACTTATTTTATCTCTAGGTTTGTTTGTTTTTTAACCACAATAAAAAAGTACTTTTATAAATATTTTCGTACAGGTAAGTCCTTTCCCTCTGTCCATGACCTCCTTGGAGTACATGCCTAATAGTATGTCTCTTGCTTAAAGAGTATATATAATTTAGTGACTTTTTAAATATGATTCCAAATTGTTTTCCATAATCCACTGTCATCTCATCTTACAACCCAATAATTTCTATTTTCATTTTTTCTCATCTTTGCCAATCTGATAGGTACAAAATGGAACCTCAATGTTATTTAGATTTGCATTTCTCTTGTTTTAATGACTCAAAGCATTTTATGCAGTTTTTGATAGCTTAAAATTCTTTATTTGAGAATTCTTTTTCATATATTTTCTACTTATCTATTATTTCAGTTTATTATAAAACATCTTTTAATATTATATTATATAAATTCTTCATATAAATTTATGTAACTTGGTTATTAGACCCCTTTATCAAAGAAATTTTTTGTGAAGATTTTTTCCCAAATTGTTTCTGTTTTCATTCTAATTGCATTTATTTTGTCCATGCAGAAGCCTTTCAATTCTATGCATATCCTCTGTTTCTTAACACTAAGGATAGTACTATATATAATTATAATATATATTTCATTTCAACACTACATATGTGTTGTATTGGATTAAATGGATTAAGCAGCTTTGTAAAATAACACTCCATCTTTAGGCTCTGGGCATTTTCTTTTAACACTATATTATATTATTTCAAATATAATGTAGTGTTTAAGTGAAATATACATTATATAGTGTTGTAATGAACACTGTAATATATTTGTAACACTGTAAGATACACAGTAACACTTACAGTCTTACAAATATATAATATATATTTCATTTCAACACTAAGGACAACCCTAAGGACAACTCATTTTCTACTGCCTCTGAGGATACTACACTACCTCTGAGCAGTGGATTAAGCAACTTTGTAAGATAAACTAGACATTTTAAAGAACCTTCCCAACAATGCAATGTAATGATTATGAGATTTGGGGGATGCTAATCAGTAGGTAGAATGTGCCATGAGGCACATTTTTTTGCATCATAAAAAATTTCTAACAGTTAGAACAATTTATTGAATTGATCATCCCAAGGTATGGAACTCCCTGTTACTGAAAGTATTCAAACAGATGCTATCAATCAGGCATGCGCTAGTAAATATTTAACAACTAGATCTCTGGGGTAGAAGGGCCAGGGGGAATGTATGCACAACACATTTTAAAGTGTAACCTACATTATTAACATTTTCTCCATCACTTTATTAAGTCTAGACAATCAACAGAACAGAAAAGCAAACCCTGATTTGTAGCATTTGCTGTTTTCTGAGGTATAAATGTTCACATGAAAATTTAATATTTGATTCTCAAAAGCTAGTTTGAGCTGACTCTACTGTACCCAAGAGACTCCAAAACTAGAAAGTTGGACTGAATGAATTCAAGTTCATCCATCCAAACTATAACGTTTTATGGTTCTTTATGTTAGTCTTAGGATACCCGTCTTCCTAAGAATTAATATCAACATGTTTTGGTTTGCATTTATGAATTATTTCAGTGGCAGAATTTATGGCTATTGATCATTACCCTCATGTGAACTTTTTCTTGATGGTAAACATTCAATGTCTTACAGAGTACTCTTGCTGTGATAGCAAATGTCAAAAAACTCAACATATGTTCCCTCGTCGTTGGGTTGATGTGTTTTGCTTTGCTTCTGGGCGGCAAGGAGTTTAATGAAAGATTTAAAAACAAATTGCCAGCACCTATTCCTCTAGAGATTGTCGCAGTAAGTCAAATATCTCTTCAAAATAAATTTTTGTTGATATCTTTTGCTTTTACATTGCCTAAATTTCCCCTTCTGTCCCTCTTGCGCCTTTTCAAAGAGCCATCCCTTATAACAAAGAATTTTTTGAAAAGGGTGAAGAGAAGAAAAAATCAGTAAAACATATGAATACATTAAAAAATGGCAATGTATACAATGTTCCACACCTGTATACCCTCCACCACCTCTTCAAAGGAGTAGGAGGAGGTGTTCTCTCTTACCTTTTCTTTGGAGCCAACCTTGTTCTTTGTACTTTTGCAGCATTCACTTTTGTTTGTTTCATGGTGTAATTGTTCTTTCTATTTGTATTGTTGGGGTCATTATGTGTGTTGTTTTCAGGCTTGGATTATTTCATTTGGCATCAGGACAAGTAAGCCTTCCATACTTCTCTGTATTCATCATATTTGTCATTTCTTACAGCACAGTAATATTCCATTATAATCATATACCAGGATTCATTTAACCATTATCCAATCAATGGATATCTGCTTTGTTTCCACTAATTTGCCACCACAAAAAGTGCTGCTATAAATGTTTTAGTATATATGGAACCTTTATTTTTAGCAATGGTCTCCTTAAATACCTGGCAGTGGAATCTCTGGGTATGGAAATTTTAGCTGCTTTATTTTTATAATTCCATATTGCTTTCCAGAAGGATTGTACTAATTCACAATTCCACCAACAGTGCTTTTTTTTAAAAAAAATTAAAGTTAAATACACAATAAGAAAAGAAAAAGAAACATATTATAAATTTAAATACGAAATAAAAAAGGGGAAAAACGCATTGCCATGTGCACAGCAGAACATGAGAGGATTCACAACAGTGCTTTAATATACCCATCTTACACTTTCTACACTGACTATTCTCATCTTTTGTCATCATTACCCAATTTTTTACCTAATTTTCTGAGTATGTTTTTTAATAAATGTTTTATATTAGCTATATTGTTGTTAACAGTTTGCCATCTTTTGAGAATTGTTTGTTCATATCATTTGACTATTTATCTATTGGGGAATGGGCTTTTGGTCCTATATATATATCTTGGATACAAACCCTCTTTGAGAAATCTGATGCAAAGTTGTTGGGATTTTTTCCCATTCAATTAATTATTTGGGTTTCATTTTGATGCATTTTGTTTTAATATTAAAAAGTCATTTTCTGATATATCCCTTCACCACGTTGAACTCTCCCTTGTAACATAGAAAAATGCTTAAACAAAACCAACTGACTACAGAGACTATATGTGGTGCCTCTAATATAGGAAGAATAGAGATATGTTTCATGATCTTTTCTCTGGAACTTGGGTTAGTCATTGAAACTAATCAGAGTTCATCTGCCTTTTGCTGCTCTTTTGATTTACATTCTTGTAGTCATTACATATATTATTTTCTTGGTCCTGCTTACTTCATTCTGCATCTTTTCATACATGCCAGCAAGTTAGTTTTAAAGAAATGGCCATGCTCATTGCATTTGACTCTGTTTGTCCTGCACTCACATTTAAAATTTTATGTAGAAGTCATCAAGCATCAATGTCTATGTTGTCTTGATATGGGATATGTTGTCAACTTCCTGCTCTTTTTCTTTTATTTTCTTCCTTGCCTCTCACCAAGAGTGACCCTCAACATTCAGCTATTCTATGTTAAACAGTGTTCTGTTATAGAAAATACAGATGTGTTGGCATTAGAACAAGACTTAAGCAAAATGGTGGCCCATGTCAAGCATATTTTAAGTGTTCACAGAATTCCACTTCCAATCCTGCCTCTGTGACTGAAGGTGGAGAGAAGATGGATATAGTCTGCTGATGTAAAGACTTCTAATAGCATCCCTCTTTCCCCTCAGTCCTTTTCCCTAATAACTAGCGTTAGGTGAGACATAGAATCAAGAGTATATGGACAGGAAATTATAGCACTGAAGAGCTCCTTCTTACCGTGGCTGGTACCTAGAGTTCCCTGGTTAGAGCTTCCCTTTATTCACTTCACATGATACCTTGTTTCTGAAAAAGAACTGGCTCAGGGAGAGTACCCCTCTTACCTTCCTTTGGGTATATTCTGGTTTTCCTTCTATCTGTGAGGTTTATATGTGTAATTTCCCGTGATAAGATGTAAGCACCTCTAAAGCAGGGACTGTTTTCATCTTTGCATCTTCAGCTACTTGCACAGTGCCTGGCACACATAGGCATTTTTAATCAATTTTGCTTGCTTCTCTTTGCTTGATTGCTTTAATTGACCCAAGCAGCCACACACCATAATATAGAGTGAGAATTTTTTTTAAAAAAAGGCAGCTATTGTATGTAAAAACAGTAAAGTGAATCTTATTTATTTATATTAGAAAAATTAGAAGGTACAATGGCTTAGCTATATTTATTCTTTTAAGAGTAAGTGTTATGAATGAGAATTAGTCAGACACAAGTTTGGGGGGTTTGTTTCTGCAGCTGTGTATTTTTAATTTTGAAGGTAAACGAATTTGTTCCATTTTTAGGTGATAATAGGAACTGGCATTTCAGCAGGATTTAATTTAGAAGAATCATACAAAGTGGATGTTGTTGGATCACTCCCACTGGGGTAGGGAATATATGTTTTTATTTTGAGCTGGAATGATCAATGAAAGTATTGTTAATCTACACTATTGCCTACTAGTATACATTCACAACACAGTTACAGATCATTTCTTTCTTATATTTTAAGTAGCTTGATTTGAATATAGTACACTTTCACTTAAGGAGAAATTCCATGTTATGGGTTTTAGATCTATATAATTCCCTAAAATTATCTATTATCTTTTATCTACCACTTTTCTACACATTTGTTACCTTATTTCCTTCTCACTTAATGCACAGAGTCCATTATTCTATTGTATCTTTTTTTTTCTTCTGAGAAAAAGTCTCTGAAATATAGAGCAGTACATTTTTTTTTGCTGTTAAATTCCACTGGTCTCTTAGCATCTGGCAGTCTCATTCATCCTCAGCTGTTTTATGCCATACAAGGATACCCTGAGGTGTATGGGATACAGAAATGATGTTTTTGTTGCCCAATTTCATTCTTACTCGTGGTCAGAATCCTCAGACCTCTGACTATAGTGGTCTTAATATCCCTGACAGACAAACTTGAAAGAAGGACTCATAAAATGTTGGCAAGGATTCAGCTGTCACTGATTTAATGGCAGTCATCATCACTCTATTCTTTAGTGTTCGGAGTTCCCAAGATCTTGCACAGCTTGCAACCCAACTTGGCACAAAAGACTTCCCCAGAGACACATACATCACAAAAACCCCACAAACATAGACACTCAAGGAAAGCCAAATAGGAATAATAAATCCCTCAACCCCTTCCAACAAAGTTGTAGTGCTCTGCCACAGAGAGAGCTCACCTACCTCTCCTTTCTTTCTTCCCAATCACCTTTACAACTACAGTATAATAGACCAACTTCCTGGGAGCCATAGAGTCGGGGAGATGCTGATGTCTTTCTTAGGACCCTGGCCAGCAACTGTTGTTTTCCTAAGATAGATAGATAGATAGATAGATAGATAGATAGATAGATAGATAGATAGATAGATATAGATATAGATATAGATATAGATACACACACATACATACATGCATGCATGCATATACATATATACATACATACGTGTGTGTGTGTGTGTGTGTGTGTGTGTGTGTGTACATGTGTGTGTGTAAAACAAATGCCCAGTTGTAGTAGCTTTCGTTTTCTACCACGGGTCAGGACAGTGGGACGGTATCTACTTTGGAGTGATATAAACCACTAAATTATCATTTCTCATATAACTGGGTTTTGCATAAAAAGAACTTCTTTTCACACTTGGTAAGGAATATCCATCCTTTTTACAAAACTAGATTAACAGTGTACTTCAAATTGAAGATTTCATTTATGTGATATGGAAATATTCATGGATCTGTTGATAGATAATGCTGCCAATCATAGTTTTAATAACTGTTTTACAGTTTAATATATACTTGGAGCATAGGCTCATGGTGTCTAAATGACCACCAAACTCTGAATTGAATTTCCAGAGTTTCTTATATATTCTTTAGTTTTATCAGCAAGAAGAATATAATTGGTATTTTACAGCACCAAAAAGAAAGGTAAGCATTTACATTTCAAAGGTAAGTTTGTAAATTTTGTAGCAAGCAAATGGAGATGAAAGAGATTTGCATATATAAGACAACAGAAAAGAAAAATTTATAGCAGGTCAATTTGTAAATTGATTAACAAACATTAGGAAATCTGCTCTAGAATTTACAACTAGCCAGTGTTCATTGTGAAAACATAAAGTTAATAAAACTAAGCCAGAAATTCTTCTATCCCTAACCAGTTAATTACTTGGGTTGAATTTTTAGAGTCCTCAGCTAAATTCTACACTAAAAGAAAAGGCTTCAACAGGTTATATGATTTTCTTTAACAATAAAATGGCCATGCTAGAAGCAAGAGAAAAGAAATTTTAAAATCTCAAGAGAAATTAAAACCCTTAAGAATAGTGCTACTGGGGCAGGTAGGTGACACAGTGGATAGAGCACCGCCCTACAGTCAAGAGGAACTGAGTTCAAATCCGGCCTCAGACCAAACACTTGATACTTACTAACTGTGTGACCCTGGACAAGTCACTTAACCCCAATTGCCTAACAACAACAAAAAAAGAATAGTGCTGCTCTCTGTTCAGAGGGCTTCCTACCATGTTATCACATCCATATTAAAGTAAATTCCCCGTTTCAGGTTATTAGCTCCAGCTACTCCAGATTCCAGCCTCTTCCATCTTGTCTATGTTGATGCTATTGCCATTGCAATTGTTGGATTTTCAGTGACCATCTCAATGGCCAAAATCTTCGCAGTTAAACACGGCTACCAGGTTGATGGGAATCAGGTAAAATCATAGCATTTTTATAGAACTGTTCACAAAAAAATGCAATGAGATGTTTTATTGGTTTCAACTACAAAGCTAGATGGACTTTTAAAATATTTTGATCCAAAGATTGGATAGAAAAGCAGTCTTCCTTGCTTTCACCCTATAATTAATGTTTAACAATCAGCAGCAGATATTTAGGCAATATTGGAATTTATATTCTACTTCTACCTTTAATCACATATGTGAATTAGTTGATACTAATAACCTCTTTCATCAAATTGGACTCCAAAGCATAGACTTAGGTAGACACAGGTAGGGACAACATTTGGAAAGTGGAACCACTAAGGCAGAATCCATTGCCTATGATGCTCCTTTATCCTGAAAACTTGAAAAATACATTCAAACTATGGCAGAAGTTGCTCAAGGGGGTCACTAGCTGTCATAGATTGAATGGGCTTTTCCCAAAACCTTTTTGCTTTCTACCAGGGTGTTCACAGCTTATTCATATTGACCTCTGCAGTGTTTGATTTTTAGCTATTCACTCTTCAAATAGTTCTCTAGCTGTCCCTGTTTTCAACTTTTTGAGTATCAGAGCTGCTGTTAAAGTATTTGCCTCTTGCATGAAAGGGCAGATACAATTAAAGAATGCCGGTATTAATATGGATACTGCAACATACTAGGTTCTTGATGAGACTATTCAGATACGTACAAGTTACAGTTATTAAAATACAGATTACCAATATGATCCTTAAAAAAGGACTCCTCTGGCAACCCAAAGGATAGCAGCACATAGTACTGTTAGAATTTAAGTAACATAGCAACTTTGTATACATTTACTAAAATAGAGAGTTGTGTCCATTTTGCAGGGACTCTTCTGCAAGAATTAACATCATTTATGAAATGATCCTCTGTTTGAGCTTGAAAGTTGGGGAGGGAGCAGAATGGTGATATGTGCCTCCAGCACAGGAGTAAAGAGTCACACTGCTTTTCACCCTCTCCAAGATTGTGCTAAACAATTACAGTACCTGATCTGAGAGATAAGATAGAGGCTTCTTGACCAGGCTACTATATTTGTCTTTTTGAAGAACTGCTTAGGTTTTCTTTGTCTTATTTTCATATGAAAAAGGAACTCATCGCCCTTGGCATATGTAATACCATTGGATCACTTTTCCAGACTTTCTCCATTTCATGTTCCTTGTCTCGGAGTCTTGTTCAAGAGAGTACTGGAGGAAACACACAGGTGTGTATGCAGATGGACTTGAGGGAGACATGACTGGGGTAGTAATTAATACATTTTAACCTCTCGGTTCTCTCCTGAGCCCCAGAAAAGCTACTCTGCATGCAGAGCAGAGCCAATGGGTGCTCCATGGAGTTCTACATCTCTAATCAGCTTTTTGGGGAGAAGGGATTTAGGGAGTTTACCATGAATCCTATAGTTCTTCAGAGGAAGGTGTAATTACCTGAACTGAACTGAACTACAGAAAGCTAGATCTGTAAAGAGGAGCTACTGTCCTCAACTAAATTAGATGTTTGTACAATACTCTGATTCTAGCACCTGTGTACCCAAAACTTCAGACGTGGGAAACTGTCATGTGCGGTAATGAAAACTTATCCCTGCAGGCAGTGACTCAGTATGGGAGGGATGTCAGCAGCTCTAACACCCATCCAAACTATCCCAACCTCTCATGTGTCTCCAGGCCTGCACCGGACATCTCATGAGGATGGGCTTTCAACTTCCCGTCACCCACTTCGGGCAAGGGTATTTGAAATGGTCAGGGTATTTCAGCATCTCTATATGTAACCAGGACACATAAGAGCAACTGAAAATTTTAGACAGGGGGAGGGGGCAGTGGGGCTAGGTGATGGTTTGGGTGGGTTCTGAATCCATACTTGTTTCATATCTTTACCAGTAATTTTCAAGGTATCAGACAAATGAGACCCCACCTATTAGCCTGCTTTTCTAGAAACCCCTTCAGTGCATTTTGTCTTATTTAGCTTGCAGGTTGCTTAGCCTCTTTATTGATTCTATTGGTTATATTGGCCATTGGCTTTCTCTTCGAATCATTGCCCCAGGTATGTATCTTGGGTTTGGCTTATAGTTTTGTGCATGTGCAGGAGGTTTGCTGTTGGAATGTAGGCCCAGTCCTCCAAGCCTAGATTAGCTAACAAACTGAAAATCTCTCATCATTGTGTGGGAAGTGAAATGGAAATGGGAATAGGGATGAGCAGCATGAGGGAAAAGTGATGATGTCAAAGCCGTGGGCCCTGGACTTCAGAAAAGGGGAATACATGGTCATGGTATGTTTCAGGCGGTGCTGTCGGCCATTGTGATTGTGAACTTGAAAGGAATGTTTATGCAGTTCTCAGATCTCCCCTTTTTCTGGAGGACCAGCAAAATAGAACTGGTAAGTGAATAGAGATGAATCCATCTCAGAAAATCTACAGCTTAATATGATATTTGCATATTAAGAACATTTTAACCCAATAGAAACCAGCTAGAAACGTAAAACTGTTGGACATACACCTGAACACTCATCCAAATCCTCAAGGTGGAGCTCAGAAGTAGCAACTGATTTAACAGTCTCAGAATAATAGTAATTACTGAACAGAAAATGCTAATACTTTCCAGTCTGTAAAGGTGGTGATTTAAAGATCTGATGACATACATAAAATCTATTTGCTACAATTATCTGTATTTAATTCTGAATCAAACAGAAGATGCTTGTATTTGCTCCAAGTAAAATAATGTATGTCCAGTTATTTTCTTTTAATTGTGGTTTCTTGACAGCTTATTAATTTTAAACTTTTCTCTCAAAGAATTATTATTTCAGTTACCCAGAATCTAAATAGTCATGTCCTATGACATATACAATCTTCCTTTGCCTTTTGAAGTGGTATGTCCCTCATCTAATTGTACTTAACACTTCCAATACATTTGTCTTAGCTTAAGGTTGTAGATCTGGAACTGGAAGAGACTTCAGATGCCTCTAAATGTAACCTTCTCATTTTACAGTTAAGAAAACTCTCTTTTTGCAGTTGAGGTCCCAAGAAGCAAAGTGACTTGCCCTTGTCACATACCTAGTAAGCATCAAAGGGAAGATCCTAACACAGGTGCACAGATCCGTTCCACATTGTCTCCTACGTTCTATAAAGATTAGAAATTGGAAGAACAGCAGTAGGATTTGCTTCATAAACTGGTTTTTAATACAGTTACACTCTGGTTCACCTTTGCAGCATTCCAAAAGCTTCCATTAACATCTCACAGAGAACCACATCATTTGGACTTTTTTTCCCCTGTGATCCCCTTGAAATTGATCTATAAAATCTCTGTCTCAAACTCTTAAATGAATGTTAACTGAAGGTAGTGATGAATTTTAAGTAAGATACATTATCCTTCAGAACACGAACCTTTTTTTCCATATAATCTCCTATAAGAGAGAATAAGATAGGAAAAATTACTGTGTGTGTAGGTGTGTGTGAGGATGGTCAAGAAATGTCATTGCCTGACTAACAGAAGAAAAATATTTTATATCATTCTGAATCTACCTGAGTGCTGTTTGAAAATTCTTCCTAAAACACCTATGTGAAGGCCTAGAAGAGAAATCTCCTTACTTAAAAAGTACAAGGGGCAGCTAGGTGGTTCAGTGGATAGAGCACGGGCCCTGGATTCAGGAGGACCTGAGTTTAAATCCGGCCTCAGACATATAACACTTACTAACTGTGTGACCCTGGGCAAGTCACTTAACCCCATTGCCTAACTAAAAAAAAAAAAAAGCACATATGCTACATTGTTCAATGTGTGCCCATCAAAGACAAGACTTTTTAAAATACTATACCATATTTTCAAACTTATATTTTTAGAAAATAATTTAAATGATTGTTAAATGAGTATATAATAGAGGTGAGAAAAGTAGCTGAAAGAATTGTGAATGTGCTATCTAGGTAGGGATGTTAGATTATCTGATCACTGTTCTGTTCATTACTTTTTTATAATTACTGGGTTTTTTAAATTATTTTAATACAAAGTTTTCTTGTTTTGGTTTAGACTATTTGGCTTACCACTTTTGTTTCCTCCCTGTTCCTTGGATTAGACTATGGTCTAATAACTGCAGTGATAATCGCTCTGATGACTGTTATTTACAGAACACAAAGGTGAGTTGGGTGGTGAGTCTATGTGTGGATGTTGTGATACTACATTTAAAGTTAAATTTTTGATTTTCTACTGTAGTCTCAACATGGAGTGAAATCAGAGCCCTTTGATTATTTTCATTCAGTTTGAACAAAAAGCAGAAGTGGGGGGTACACACACACACACACACACACACACACACACACACACACACATACATACATACATACATACATACATATGGAGTAAAAAGGAGAGAAGCAAGGGAAGATTTGTTAGAATTCAGATCAATTCAACAAATAGTTGAGTACCTGTTATATGCCAGATACTGTGCTAAGCTCTTTAGGGAGTATAAAATGGATAAGATACAATATCTGCCTTCAAGCAGGTTATAATCTAATAGGAATTTATTGTCTATTACAGGTAGTAAAACAAGTACATGCATAACTAGAATATAAGCAAATATTATTAATTTCCATAAGAATAGTACAAAGTTCTACAGGAGCTTACATAACAGATAATTATGCGGAACTGAGAAAGTTTTATGAGGAGAAGGGTAAGTCCTATAGAATAGTAGAATGCAGGCAGATAGAAATTGGAGGAGGACATTCCAGGCAGGATGAAGAGTATGAGCAAAGGTTTGGAACTGGTAAAGCATGGGTCATGTTTGTGAAACAGTGAAGAGTATAGTTTAACTGAAACATAGGTACATGGACGGGAGTTAAAGATGAAGCTGAAAATATAGGTTAAAATAAGAATGTCAAAAGCCTTTAAAACTAGGATGAGAAATAAAGTTTAGACTTTATTTGTTAGACAATGGTGAACTATTGAAGGTTTGTTGTTGTTTCACAGAAGGGGGACATGCTGAGAGTCGAGCTTTATGGTGGCCAATATACTACCTATAGCTAAGGTAGACCAGATAGATAAAGGAAGGAAGAAAGGGATGGAGGGAAAAAGGCAGGAGGGGTTAGAGTGAAGAAGGAAGAAAGGGAAGGAGGGAGGAAGGAAGGAAAGAAATGAAAGGATGGAGGGAGAAAGGATGGAGGGAGAAAGGAAGGAAGGAAGAAAAAGAGGGAGGGAATAAACATTTATTAAGCATTTATTAATATTTATAAATATTGTCTCATTTGATCTCACAACACCCCAGGGATGTAGGTGCTATTGTTATCCCCATTCTCAATTGAGGAAACTGAGGCAGACAGAAGTTAATTGACTTGCCCAGGATCACACAGTAGTGAGTCTCTGAGGCTGTGTTTGAACTCAGGTCTCTGACTCCAATCCCAGTTCTTTAGGCACTGCACCTCAGTAGACATTAGCAACTTCAAGAAAAGAAAGCATATATTTAATGAAGCTTTGCTAAAAACCTTTGTTAGACCATGTGTCCCAATGTTTGGTTTGGAAAATATGCTTACCTCTTCACTTACTAGGCTTTTGCAGTGAATATAAATAATGTATTTAAGTAGGGCAGCAATGATGAGAATGCCAACAATAGGATGAATTTGAGACATGGTGGGACAGAATTTGTTGGATTAAAGAGAGAAGTCAAAGATGATTCTGTGGTAAAAACACCAGCCTATGTTATGAAGAGAATGATAGGTCATTGATAGAAGTAGAGATGACAGGAGGAAGAACATATTTAGGGAGAAGATGATAAGATTCATTTGAACATGTTAAATTCAAGTTTCTAATAAGGGCAGTGGTCCGGCAGGCAGTTGGAACAGGAAATTGGCATTGAAAGAGAGATCAGTTTTCAAGATACAGATTGCAAGTCATCCACATAGAAAATACAAGTAGTGAAGTCAAAGTTTGGAATGCCCAAAACAAAACAAAAGAATAATAATTTTTAGAAAAAGATGATCTCATTTTTCAGGATACACTATCAAGGGAGGAGAACCTGTGGCCTCAAGGCCACATGTGGCCTCCTAGGTCCTTGAGTGCAGCCTTATGACTAAGTCCATGTTTTACAGAACAAGTTTTACAAATCTTTTTATTAAGGGGATTTGTTCTGTGAAGTTTGGTTTCAGTCAGTGCCACACTTGAGGACCTAGAGGGCCACATGTGGCCTCGAGGCCATGGGTTCCCACCCCTGCCAATCTATCTTCAGTTTCCTTCTGTTCCTTTGTACCAAAAGAACCTAGTTAAGAAAAAAAATAGTTGTCATCATTAGCAAGCTAGTTGTAGCCCTAGAATTTACTGATTCAGTCTTAACTTGGACACTAATTCTTACCATTTGCTTTGATAATTCTAATTCCCAATACTCATGAAGTAAAAATAGATGATCTTACCCAGTATTTCCAGGTCTTTGTTTCCCACATCCACAAACTTTCTGCCTTCTCCTTTAATTTGTACTTCTTGGCAATAGTCTTTCTCTCTGAAGTTCAGTCATTTATAGCTATATCTTCATAGTGATACATGGATTAACCCACTCATTATCCATAATAAATTCACTAATAAATTCATTCATTCAACTGAAAGTGATCTCTCTTCCTCCCTTTCTCTCTCTCCCTTTTCCACTCCCCCTTCCCCTCTCCCTGTCTCTCTCTCTCCCTCTTCCTCTCTTCCTATTTCCCTTCCTCCCTCCCTTCCTCTCTCCTCAAATAAACTAGGAATTATTTATCTGGATGCCTTCTTTGCTTCGATTATATTCTGCCTTGTATCATGTGTGAAGTACTGGTTTAGTTGAATCACTGAGTGATTTCAAGTGAATTCATAATAATCACCTACTCAGTTGAAAGTTCCATGAGAACAGAGACCATGTCATGCCTGAACCCTTTAACTCAGGATCAAAAGTCATTCCACAGTATATCTACAGTTCCATTTTACTTCTCAAGAAATATTTCTATACTGTGTTCTTCATGTTGAGTAGGATATCAAAAAAGCATAGTAACCATTCCTGACTTTCAGGAGCATATAATCTCCTTGGGAAGACAAAACATAAACACAATGGAATAACAATGTAATATAAAATAATTTTCCCAGTACACAATCCTGATTATATGACCCTGCTCAGACACTTTCAATGGCTCTCTATGGCCTGTGGGATAAAAGACAAAGGTATCAACTGAGCATTTGTCTCCCTAACAGTCTGGTAACAACCTACTCCTCCATCATTTTATACTACACCTCTTCAATGAGTCTATGTTTCATCTAAGCTGTACCACTAGCTTTCCTCTGAACTCAGCCTACACTTGTCTGTCTCTTGGCATTCACTCAAAGTGTGTCCCATGTCTGGAAGTCATTGCCTCCACATATCCATTTCTTTTTGAAATCCATTTCTTTCTTCAAAGCCCAGCTATGGTTGAACCTTCTTCATGAAGCTTTTCCTCAACCTCACTCCATATCCTTTCACTCCTGAAAGTGTTATTTTTCCCTTCGTATTTTCTTATAGCACTTTTCTGGATTACACCTTAACCTATATCATTCTATGCCTTGTATCATACTTTGTGTGTGTGTGTGTGTGTGTATGTGTGTGTGTGTGTGTGTGCACGCATGTGCGCGCATCTGTACACAAGTATGAGGGCAGTGTTACTGGATTGCAGAGTATGGGAAGCGGGGTATGGAGCGGGAAAATAGGGAAAGGTAGGAAAGGACCAGATTATGCAGGATTTTGAATGCCAAAGGATTTTTCATTTGATTCTGGAGGTGATAGTGAATCCCTGAAGTTTATTGAATGGAGTCTAGGGATTACATGGTCAAACCTGTGATTTAAAGAGATCAATTTGTCGGCTGAGGATGGACTGGAATGGGGAGAGATTCAAGCCAGGGAAACCAACCAGAAAGCTGTTGCTGGACTACTTTCTAGGTGTGAGGTGGTAAAGAGCCTACACAGTGAGGGTAGCAGCATCAGAAGAGAGAAGGAATATTTTATGAGAGATGGTATAAAGCTAGAATCTACAGGACTTGGCTTAGTTACATGACTGGAAGCACAGTTAGGAAGAGGAGCTGGTTTGGGTGCAAAGACAGTAAATTCAGTTTAAAATGTGTGTTTAAAATCTTTTAAAAGGATGATTCTCTTTAAAGAGAATCCAACTAAAGATGCCCTTGCATCAATTGATGACTCAGGGCTGGTTCTAAAGTAAAAAGTCAGCACTGGAGCTAACAGTTGGGAGAGTCGAGTCTTACTGATTTCCGGTCCAGGGCTCTATCTATCCAGCTGCCTCTGGGATGAGAAAAAGAAGAGGAAGTAGCAAATGTTATTAAGTTTCAGCACCTCCTCACTTGTCTACCTTCTACTACAAGTTTTCACTTCTCTTTCCAGATCTATTACTAGAGACTTTGTGACTCAGCCAGCTGCACTTAGGATTCTTTATACTGTTTCTCCCTATCATGGAAATGAGAAAAACCCTATCCTTTTAAATCCATATGATTTGGCAGAAATGGAAGGGAATTCTGAAGGGGAGTAATATCCCTTTCTCTTGACATTTTTTATCCTTTTGCTTCTTTAAGCCAGATCCTAATTTTTTGTATTTCAATTAATATTTTTTATCAAACAGTTCTTTAGCATTCACCTTAGAGATAGAATAATTTATGACAAGGGATGGGAGTTTCAAAATCTAAAAACACCAGGTTATAAATTTTTAAATACATTTAAACAAATTTTAATAAGATTTTTAAGGAGAACTTTCTCCATATTCTTGACTGATGTTTTTTGTGGGTTTTTTTTCCTACGGAACTTTGTTTGGAGGGAGGCATAACTAGACCTTGCAGTATAGGTAAGATTTTGGCTAGATGGAGAGAAGATGAGAAATGATTCAAAGTAGGGAGAATAGCATGAGAAAAAACTTGGAATGAAGAATGAATGGAGGTGTTCACAGGACAGTAAAACTGGTGTAACCAGAGGAGGGGAGTGTTCCTATTGAGCAATAGTGGGGAAAAAAGCTTGTATGGCTTAGGTGAAACCAGGTTATGCTGAGTTTGGAGTTTCTCCTTGGCAGCAAGCATGTAAGTAGCCATTAGAGGTTGGATTTTGGTTTTGGTTTTTAGCAAAGAAGTATCACAAATGTGTTTTTTCAAGGTTAATTCAGTGTCAATGTATAGGATGAATTAGAGAGAAACTGAGACTAAAATGAGAGAGAGGTCCTTCCTCTGCAAATAGGATTCCTTGTCCTCCATCTAAGCAGTAGAGCAGAAAGACAGAACAAGGGCCTTACTCTTTTTTTATGTTATGGACTCATTTAGTACTATGGTGAAGTCTATGAATCCCTGAATAATGGCTTTAACGACATCAAATAAAATATGTGGGATTACAAAGGAAAACAATTATATTAAAACACAGTCATCAATTTTTTTTAAAGACAAGTTTACAGGTTTGAAAACCTAACCTAAGACAAAAAACATAGACTAGGGAGTTAGGAGAACTGGAGTTATGCCCTGGCCAGAACTGACCTCCATGTGATTGTGCACTTCTCTCTGCCTCATATTTCTCCTATCTTTGAAGGAGACATTCCCATTCTTGGGGAGATTGTAAGAACCTATGTATTAGTGAGCTAGAAAATGCGTTGTGTTTTGAATATTCTATGAAAAGATTAGGCAGAGCTTGGTGTAGCAGATAGAGATCTTGAGTCTGGGTGACCTGGATTTGGGTCCTCCCTCTGACACACACTTGTTGTGTGGCCCTGGGCAAGTCATTTCAACTCTAAAATTATAATTTACTAAAGAGTTACAGATCTGCATCGGTAAAGGGATTTCCCATATAGTGAATATTCCCTAAACCAATGAAATCCCAGCTTTAGACCCAAAAAAGGAAGAAAAAAAACTGTGTAATTATTAGATATTGCTGGTGACGGTGATCCATATATATAAAAACTGTTTTCTTTGCTTCATTGTGATGATGCCATAATATGCTTTTTCTTTTTTCTAGTCCAACCTATACAGTTCTTGGTCAGCTTCCCAACACGGATGTATATATTGATATAGATGCATATGAAGAGGTAGGAGCTTCTTCTAAACATTTACTTCAGTGCACCCTACGCTGGTTGTAGATCACAACTCCTCTAAGTCTTCATGGATGGTCCTTTTGAGTTGACTTGGCCAAAATACAATTCATCACCTGGTGGCCAACCTTATGGTGATAAGACCCTATAAACTGAGTGAAGCTGGTCCTACAGAGGACAGATATACTATGCATTGCAAAGCTTGGACTCAAAGCCTTAATTGCCTAAAAAGACCTGTCGGAACTTTTACTCTGCTAAACTTTAAGGAACCCAAGATATCACTTCCAAACCACAGTGAGGCATCAGATTAGGACTTGAGTGAAAGATAATATTTTAAATGATTAATAATAGATTTATAACAATGTATTTAAATTTTAAGATTTACAGAGCACATTTCCCAAGGCAAACTTATAAAGCAAATAAACTAAACTGTGCAGTTATTATTTTCCCCATGTTATGGACAAGAAAATTGAGGTGCAGACAAGTTGTGACTCATACATAATACACAGACAGACAGACAGACACACACACACACACACACACACACACACACCCCACTAGTAAGCTGGTAAGCTATAAAAAACAGAATTTATACCTAGCCCACCAAGTACAAAAGTCTTTTCATTATGCTATGAAGTCTACATAGTCCCTATCCATAGCACTGCCAATACTGAATTTTATTATTTTTACTTAGTTCTGTTAATTTTGTAGATGTGTAGTAATACCTTAAAGTCTTTTTTCACATTTTCATTTCTTTAATTGCCAGAGTTACATCTCCCCACATGATTTGGAAATGTAAACTGTGGTGTCCTTTTATCAGTGTGGTCCACCGTGCTATCAAGTTATCCTTAACTATTCGTACAGCGATCTAACAACATATAGAAATGTAGTCAGGTTTTGTGAATGTATATTCTGCAGCTTTGCTGAAATCATTACCTCTAGTAAATTTGAAGTTAATTTCCTTAGATTTTCTAAATCTATAAATATGTCATCAGCAGGTAACACACAGACACACATATATCACATATATAAGCAGGTAGGTGGTACAGTGGATAGAGTGCTGGGTCTGAAGGTAGGAAGACCTAAGTTCAAATGTGGCTTCATACACTACATGTGTGACCCTGGACAAGTCACTTAACCCTATTTGCCTCAGTTTCTTCATCTGTTAAATGAGCTAAAGAAGGAAATGGCAAACCACTCCAATATCTTTTTGCCAAGAAAACACCAAACAGGACCACAGTTGATTGAACAACAGTATCATGTATGCATGTACACACACACACACATATACTCACACACACACATATATACACATACATGTGTATATATACATGGGTTTACATATTTGTATCTGCATTTATACACACAACCTATACATATAATGTTTAGCTCTAATTTCATACCTTTTATTTCTTCCTTTGTAGCTATGGCCAACATTTCTAATATTACTTTAGGTTAGTATAGCCTACATAAAAGTTCTCCTCCACTTGGTTGCATTGAAGTGACCCTGAGTTACAAGAGGAAAACAAATTTTGGCAGGTTCTACCAAGCTTTGAGTACTATGCGAGCAACAGACTGTGTCTGTTTCCTGAGGACCACCCTAGCTAAGTATAAAAAGGCTCATCACCAGTAATTTGGCCAACTAGATGATGAATCATGTGGCCACAATTAGCCATACTTAGTACATTAAATAGGAAAGAAGATGAAAAATCCTTACCTTGCTCTTGTTTCTTCATTAAATTTGGCTGACTGTTTTTACATGTATATGCCTTATCAGTATTAAGGAAAAAACCCTACATGGTTTCATTTTGAAAATATGTTGAATTGCATCAATTTTCTCAGCTTCTATTATAATAAATATAAAATTCTTAATATTTTTATCTCCATACTAAATTAAATAATTCTTCCTCTTTATGTATGCCAGTCTTGTGTTCTAGGGAAGATAAACCCTACTTAATTGAAATATACAATATTTTTAATGTATTGGATTGTTCACAAAAGTTATATTTAAGATTTTTTCACTTTCCATATATTTTTAATTCCTGTTTCATACTTTCAAATTTTATTTTTAAGAGACTTGATGCTGGCCACTTCCCTATTTTCTTACGTGTTTTCTTTGTGTCCAAAATAACAGATTACATCACTACCAAACTTGCCTTTTCTTTTTAAGTTCTTAGCACTGTGCCAGCCACAAAGTAAGCACTATATAAACATTAGCTTTTACTACTGTTATTATTTTATTTTTTATTATTATTATTATTATTTTATATCACCCACTGTTTTCTGGCCAAGTTTTACCATAGTAATGTCGGTTGGTTGTTGTCCTTTGTTCTCGAAGAGGACCAAAATGACATCGTTGTGTTAGAATCAAGTTACAGTGTGTCCAGCTGTGGCTGATCAGGCCAATATGAGCTTGGAAGGCTCTGCCACAGGTCTGGCATAAATAGTCCATGTGAACATGTGGGGTGGATTCTCTAAATTTGCACATCTTGCATTTCTTTTGAGCTACTTCAATTTTGCTTTGCTCATAGAGCATAGCACCTTCTCTGATGAGGGCACGCCATGCCAGCCAGTCCTGGGCCATGTCTCCCATGTCACGCATTCAGTTCCACAGTTCCTAAGAGACACCTTGAGAGTGTCCTTGTGTAGCTTTTTCTGACCACCATGTGAGCGCTTGCCTTGTATGAGCTCTCTAAAATAGTCTTTTAGGCAAGCATACCTTTGGCATTCAAACATGGCCAGCCCATCGGAGTTGCACAGTCTGCAGTAGAGTTTGAATGCTTTCCAGTTTAGTATTAGAAAGGACCTCAGTGTCTGATACCTTATCCTGCTAGGTGACCTTCAAAATCTTTCTAAGACGATTCAAGTTTCCTGGCATGGTGCTATGTGTATCTAGGTACTAAATGTTGATTTATTACCATGTTTGCTGATGCGGGTAGCTAAAAATGAATTGAGGAAATTATTAAAGAATTCAACCGAACGGTACTATGTTGATAGATATCTGGAAACATCCTATTGATTGTGCCCTAAAGGTCATTGATGATTATTTGATGTACATCTGTAGGAGGAATGTGTGGCTGATGTCCTTTAGAACGGGTATTTTTTAAAGTATGTACATGCACTTGCTTTCAGATGTTATTTGTTCAATGAAAAATGTTACAAGTTTTTACTTTAAAGACTCTTAGTCCAGTGATTTTATTGGCTGAACATTACTACCATTTTGGACAAGGGATGGTCTATAGGTCTATAGGTCAAAGTGAGGAACTTGGAACTTCCCTTTCCATCTCTAACTTGTCTATACCTCAATTTCTGCTCCTTCAAAATGTAACAAGTAGGTGTTAATGAATATTCACAACATCCTGAGAATGGGTGGGAAACTGGTGTGGATTTGTGTGTCTTTGTTCTTTTGACTTCAGAGTATTGCTATAATATTATTTTGTAGAATGTGTAATAATTTATAACACTCTTAGGCTATGAAACTATTCTTTTCCTCTTCCATTTTAATAGTTAATAATGATAGCTTCAAATTTCCTTGAATTTGAAAATCCCTTTTCTTCTGAAGATCCCAAAGTCCCTTGCAATATGTTCTTTAAAATAATGTTTTGTGGCTGACATACAGTAAAGTTCTTGGAGTTTCTTTGAAGAAAACCTCAGAAAAAAAAATCAGGTATTAGAGAATAGCATCGGTCTTTTATAATGTTTATTATATCCCTATAATATAGAAAAGGCCCAAGAATTATTAGTTCTTATTCCTAGCTTCTAAATTGTGTCCCGAGATGCAATGAGGCATCTATAGGGGCTCCATAAACCTAATATGATAACATTGAATGGTTTTATGTGTCTGCCCCATCACCTTTATGCAGATTATATTATACCACGATTTGGGATTTTGAGACAGGAAAAGCAAATCAGAAAGGTCCTATGGTCTTAAAAAGGTTTGAAAACACAAGATAGATAAACTTATATTTCTTTAGGGAAGTGTTATTGTTCTTAGAACAATATTATTGCATGTGTATATATAAAGAAAAAATATATATTTTATATATGTAATATAATGGCAGTAACTGATATAGTGTATTCAAGGTCCTCCTTTCCTATTCTTCTCCTTCCTACCTATTTTGAATCAAGCCAGTTTTCTCAGTTCATCTGATTCTCCTTTCCCTTTGCTTAGAATCAATTTTCAGAGAACTTCCTCCTCTTCTACTCTTCTTTCTTTCTACCACATTCAAATCTTCAATTATATTTTTGAGAGAAAGAACAAAATAAAAAGATATGGGGAAAATCAACCCTTTGAACCATTCTTAAGCTTTTTGTTTTTCTCAGTATTAATTTCTCTCAAATATGAATTGAGCAGGGGGAGAGTTTGAACTTAACAGAATAATGATTAACATAATACCAAGACAGTTAACTGTTCTGGGTAGAGTTGGGAGAGGGAGAAACTGTCATTATTAATTCTGAAATGAGTATCTTTAAATATAATATCTTATTCCTCAGGTGAGAGAGCATGCTGGGATAAAAATATTCCAAATAAATGCCCCAATTTATTATGCCAATAGTGACTTATATAGTAATGCACTAAGCAGAAAGGTGAGTAAAAGAATCTTTTTCAAAGTTCTTGCTCTTGAAATAGAGTTTTCTCCTTTTGCTTATATTAAAACTTTATACAGTATTGCCCAGTATGCACATGCTTAGAGGGGATACATTCTAGAGATTCTCCTCATATAAAGAAATCCTGTACAGATAATAAAAACTTATGCACAAAAGGAATGTGTACCCAATAGAAATATGTCAGACAGCTGCCAAAGTTTTTCTCCAAAGCTTTCTCTCCAATGCTATTTTAATTCCTATGATTGTATCAGGAGGAAAATCTCTATTAGTTATTAATCTCTGGTTTTATGCCTTGTACCAAATGATTTCAAAAGAGTGGCATGCCCAGGGTTCAGGTTGGGAATCAGGCCACAGCTGTCAGATTGAGAGTAAAAAGTACAAATCCACAAATCTGGAGGGCTTCCATATATATAGAATAAGGTGCCTTTTTACCTTTGTGGTACTCAGTTGTTCATCTGGGTCCGACTTTTCATGACCCTGTGGATCATAGCAGTCCAGTAATGTCCATGGTGTTTTCTTTGCAAAGATACTGGGGTGGTTTGCCATGTCCTTCTCCAGTGGATTAAGGCAAACAGAAGTTCAGTGACTTGCCCAGGGTCACACAGCTAGTATCTGAGTCCAGATTTGAACTTAGGTCTCCTGACTTCAGGTCCAGCACTCTATCCACTGAGCCACCTAGCTGCTTCCTTTTACCTTGTCCCCTACCCCCACCTCCACTAAATCATGCTTTCACCTCCCATAGAAGTAATGGTAGTCATTCATTATACACTAATGCTACATAGTGAGACAGTGGGCAACACATGCTAATCATCTGTTTTATAGCTCTTTAAATGCATCTGAAGGACAATCAGTCTTCTCCTCATTATCAAGATCATCTCTGAAGGAAAGTTGTACAGACCAGGAGTCAGGAAGACCTGAGTTCAAATCCAGCCTTAGATGCTTACTAGCTCTGTGACTGTGAGCAAGTCCCTTAACTCTATTTGCCTCAGTCTCCTCATCTGTAAAATGAGTTGGAGAAGGAAATGGCAAATTATTCCAGTATCTTTGCCAAGAAAACCCCGAAAGGGATCATGAAGAGTCAGATGTGACTGACTGAAATGCCTGAACAAAAACAATTTAAATCAAGTTCCTTTTGAGGAAGGTTAGAATGGTAAATCTGGGTGGGCCTTTGGTAGCCAGGAAACAGATTTGCATATACATTTAATGTTGTGTTTCCTTAAAGACGGGAGTTAACCCAGCACTCATAATGGCAGCAAGGAGAAAAGTCCTGAAGAAGCATGCCAAGGAATTAGGGACCAAAGGCAAACCCCAATCTTCGGTTGTTAAAGTTGTGAGTAGTCAGTAAATTATTCTCTACCCTCTTGGTCTGACATGTCTCTTCAGTTTATTAAACTGCACAACATACTGCTTCTAAAAAAGGGACAATGAGAAAGAATTGATGTTGTTTTATAATGAAGATATTTGGTAAAGGTAGTTAATAAACAAGGAGTGAGATCAGCTTTTTACACCAGCATGCTCTTTAAATTCCTATCCATCCATTAAGGTGTGATTCAGGCATCACCTTTCCAGGAGGTATTGTCTGAGGACCTTCCTCCACCTAGGAATTCACACACCATGTGGCTTGCTCTCTTCTGATGCACTTAGGTATGATTTTACGTTATAGGTATTTGTGCATCTATAACTATACTCTAAGCTCTGTGAAGGCAGGGACCTCATCTGACCCACTGACTAGCACAATGTTCTGCATGTATAAGGTGCTTAATAATTTTTATATTCAGACTATTTTTGAGGTGTTATCACTAAACTGTGGAAGAGTTATTCCTTTTTAAAGCAAAGCGCCCCAGTCATTTTAAGCATTCATCTCTTGTTCTAAGTTTACTCAGTTGGAGAAAGGAAAGGCCCACTGGGCTCGTCATCCATTTAGGCCTTCATTATCTATAATTATTCATCTTTATTCTCCTAAGTTATTAATTAATTAATTAATTCAACAAATAGCGAGCAAATATTATCTAAAAAAATACCATCTTGGGAGGGAAGAACAGATGTGAATGACAAGGAATAAAAATCAAGTGTTAATGAGTTGCATTCTTTATATAACAAGGTTAGGAATTGTTGTTCCAGCAAAAGGAATCTAGTAATAAGGATTCATACCCAGAATCAAAATTTTAAGTCATGTATGTTAACAAAATGGAAGTATTGTAGTAGAACTCAGGTCTGTTCTAATTCTAGGATGAGGATGCTGAAGCAGGTGGGGAAGAAGATGCAAAACAAGAAGAACAGATAGAGGAAAATGCAAAACCGATGACAATTGATTCACTGGTCCAAAAAACATTTCCAGAAGAACTGGAAAGATTTTTGCCCCCAGGGCCAAACGTTCACACTATGATTTTGGATTTCTCACAAGTCAATTTTATTGATTCAGTTGGAGTAAAAACTGTATCAGGGGTGAGTATCTCTGCTCCCTCCCCCTTCTCAACAACACAGCTATATTTGTTTTTATCACCAGATAAATCACTGAGTTTTCAAATGTTTGCTCCTTTTTGTTAATATTCTATATCTTTTGACTGTAGGACATATAATGATAACCCATGCTAAATCATTTAGTTTTCTCCTCTCCCTACCTCCCATAGCAAGTGTATATAAAAGCCAAAAAAAAAAAATGTAGTAATGATATAAAAATGCATCTCATCAAAGATATATTTATTGGGGACAAATAGACAAGTGAAGGAATTTGTACATCTTAAGTACCAGAAGTCACAATTCTGTATAATTATCTTATATCCCTTCTCCTATCCTTAAAAGTCCTCACTTGACCCTATTATGCCCTGAAGCCATTGTCCTCTATTCTCCTCCCTCTCTCTGCCAAACTTCTAGAAAAAGTTGTCTATTCTTTCTCTACTTCCTCTCTTTTCACCTCCCTTCACAGCCCCTGAGCCATTGAGGTAGAGCTGTGGATAGATCACTGGGCCTGGAGTCTGGAAGACCTGGGCTCAAGTCATTTAGCTTCTATTTGCCTCAGTTTTCTCACTTGTAAAATAGGAATAATAAAAGCACCTACCTTACAAGGTTGTTGATCTGAGGATCAGATAAGGTAATATTTGGAAAGCACTTAGCATTGTGCCTGGCAGATAGCAGGCACTAATCATAGGTTCCCAAAGTGGGCGATACAGCCCCTTGGGGGACGCTGGAATGATCAAGGGATGGTAGTAGCCTCGGGTGCAGTTGGTGGGCATTAAATAAAAATAAGGGGGTGAAGGAAAGGAGAGAAGAAAATTTTGAAAAACCGTTTGTGTTTCATCTTTGTGTAACAGAGTTAAAGTCGTACTGTTTACATTATTTTTCAAATAAACACACAAAATGCAAGTTACAACTGATCAGTGTTAAAAGTCTGCCAACAGGTCTTAACAAGCTAGTGTTGGCAGTTGAGCCTGTTGCTCATTATCGGGAAGTCCAGCATGTAGAGGTAGGAATATGTGTGTATAATGACTTGTTTACAATACAATACTATATGATTACATGAAGCAATATTGCATCATCAAAATTTCAATGCAGCAAAAACTCACAAATTTTTACAATAAATTATTAAATTTAAGATGTCATTTTTTAAAAGTATTTTATATTTTTTAAAAATTATTCAAATTTCAAAAAACATTAAAGGATTAAAGAAAGTAGATTTCCAGGGGGGCACTGTGCAATTTTTTGTAAAAGGGAGTAGTAGACCAAATAATTTTGAGAACATCTGTACTATATAAATGCTTGATCCCCTTCTCATTGTCTCCCCTGTTCCACTTGCAATCTGGATTCTGATCAACTTCAACACTCAAATGAAACTGCTTTCTCCAAAGTTGCCAATGATGTCTTATATGATGTATCTAATAATTATTTCTCAGTCCTTAGCCTCCAACCTCTTTGTAGCAGCTAACACCACTGACCTCCCTTTTCTCCTATTACAGATCCTAAAAGAATATGGAGATGTTGGTATTTATGTATATTTAGCTGCATGCAGTGGTAAGTAGACAAAAATCTGGGGAGAAATTTTAGCATATTTTTGGTTCCTTTGTTTCATAAATGTGTTTTGAAAACTTTCCTAGCCTTTTAAAGTTTTTAATAACAAGTAATTTACCAAAAACCACCCTTAAAACCAGGTTTGAAAATTAATCACTCAGAAGTTTAAACTCAACTATTTACTTGTGTGTAGAAACCTTCTGAAAGCTAGGTTGTGAAAAATATGGACTAATTCATCTTTGTTCTGGGCTGGTAAAGCTTTAGGAGTTATTTGAAGATGGTCATAAATATAAAATGGATTCATGTGTCTATTACAGTAATAATTTTATTTTTCTATTCAGTAGACTAGAAATCTTTTGCCCATTAATAGATTACCTGTTTTACATCATTTAGATCATATATAGAGATATATATTTATATATTTACATTGTTTTTCATATACACACATATTTAGAAATTATGCTTAAATGTGAAACCTAAAGGATGAATTCATTTATTCTTCCCTTACAGCCCAAGTTGTAAATGACCTCACCCGAAACAGGTTTTTTGAGAATCCTTGTGTAAAGGAGCTACTATTCCACAGCATTCATGATGCTGTTTTAGGCGCTAAAGTTCGAGAAGCCCTTGCACAGCAAGAAGCCTTAGCCCCACCTCCAGAGGAGGACTCGGAGCCGATCACTGACCCGGAGACATAGAAAAGGCATTAAACAGCCTCCTGTAAAACTAGGTAGACGTTTTGAACAGCAGACATTAAGGATTTTCACTTTCGTAGGTAAATTCTATTAGTTGAGAACTGCTTGATTTGGAGGGTGAATGAAGCATCTCAAGATGTGTCACTTGTATTTTTTCTGTCCAATTATTTCTCGAAAAAATTATTCAACCTCTTCTGCTTTGTGCATAGAATTTACATCTACTTCTGTATACAGTTAGTATATACAATGTTCCTTTCTAATGAGGATGAGCCCCTGCCAGGTGAGTGGAGGTGTGTTGGTTGATTTCTCAATCTGATCAGATAGCCTTTAATAGACATGACTGAAGGGTAGAGAAAAGTACACTTTTCTATTCCAGTACTTTTTTTTAAACAAAAGTAGAACACAATAAAGTATAAATATTAAAGAGTGAAGTAGGTAGGTACAATTTGGTACCTTTCTCAGCAATGTAGGTAATCAGTCACAGGTTAATTTAACCCTGGTTTAGTCCTCAGGTTTAAACACTTCTTTCAACTTGTCCTGAATCTTTATACTCAAAGCAGAAATCCCTTTCTGATGTAGCTAGGCTACTTCAGGTCACTTTGACGTCAAAAGCTCTTACTGTTGCACTTATTACTGTGATGAGACCTGCTTGCTTGTTGGCATCTAATCAGGTAAAAGGCCTTCAAGCAAAAGAAGCACATTTCCTGGCAACAGTGAGTTTTCCTTTTCTAATTCCCTGGTGTCTTCCTTTCTCAGCCAGCCTAATAAGAAATGCCAGAGGAAGAGATGTCTGTCCTTTGGTTCCTACCTTGCCTTCTTCTCCAGATTAGTACATAGCAATGTGACATTGCTGATCTGAATGAAATCTTAAATCTTCTTCCCTTATTTCAAATCAAAATATTTCTCAGTCACTTTGCTATTGCTACTTCCACATGCCCTAATCAACTTTCCCTTGGTCTCTATGTTGTCCTCTCCTTAATAACCATCATACACACATCTGCTTTCTGATACAGACTGCCTTCTGAAAGAGCATGTAGTTACAAAATTTGTTTATTCTAGAAACTGTTTTCTAAAAGGTCTGTCATCTTTTTCAGTATCAGTGATTTAAACAGAACTTAATAAGGATTTTAAACAGATATAATGTGGTTTGGACCACATATGCTTCAGCACCAAAAAAGGTCTTAAAGCAGTACCTTGCACATTATAGGTGCTAAATATTTGTTGATTGGTTAACTAATTCTCTATCTTACAATATTTTAACCTTTTCTGCATTTTTTATTTCTGTATCATATTATTTCTATTCTTTGTTTTTAACAGAATTTTGACATGTATATAAAAACTGTTGGAGAACGTCCTGTGTGAAGGGAGGGGAATGTATTTTACTAAAATCAGTTATTTTTGTTTCTTCGAATCTGTTAACACTCAAAAATCAAGGTCCCTTTTGGGTAAAACATTTATGCAGGATAGTGAGATGTATTAAAATTACTTATTTTTACAGCAAATGGGATGTATTAAAATTACCTATTTTTACAAGTAGGATTTAGGGATTTTACTATAGAGGGGCTTTATTTTCTTTATTGCTTTGATACCCCAAGACATTCAAGTTACTACTTCTATGGCTTTCCATACTTCATATCATTCTGCCGTCAGATTTAGAAAGTCATAGATGATTTTTAGGTTAATATTACCCAATTTCTGTTCCAAGCAATTTATTAATGGGTCTGGGGCCTCTCTCCTGCCATTGTAATCTTTTGTTATGATCTGGAGGATTCTTGTAGTAAGGATAGACCTGTGAAAAAGAGTAGTGGTTCAATACAGCCTGCCCAAGTCCTACTCCAAGTGAAGTTACCATTGCTGATCTATACAGAAGTATGAGTATGATGTCAGTGTATGAATACATGTTTGATTTTCAGCAAAGGGGTCAGGGAATTCTCAGTACCAGGCAGAGGCTACCTCTAGAGTATTGCAAGTGGGAGTGTTACTATCAGTAATTAGCAATTCACATTTACATTGTGCTTTACAATTTACAAAGTGTTTTCTTTCTAACTCGATGAGGTAGGTAGGGTATTGTCCCCACGTTAGGGATAAGGAAACTGAACCCAAGAGGTTTGTTGAAGCACTAGTATCATGGAAATGGCATTCAGCTTGGAAATACGATCTAGGTGGGCTCAAACTGCAGCTCTGACACTAGCTGTGATCGTGGGCAAGTCACTTAAGATCTCTTGAAATTGTTTCCTCAACTGAAAAAAAAGCGTGTAAGAACTGTAGCACTTCCTTTACTAAGTCGTTGTTTGGATAAAATGAGATAGCATAGGCAAAACACTCTGCAAATGGTAAAGTGCCACATAAATGTCAGCTATTCAAATGATGTGCTCACCACACAGCCTAGTCCATGGTGGAACACATCTTCATATCAGTTTAATGCTCTCCATACCATCGATGTTGCTTCTCAGAGCTCAAGTACACAAGGATGAATATGATTCCTCTCTAGGTGCTCCTATATGCTGCTTATTCCTGCAGGCTTTATTCTAAATACCATATTCCGTATACCTCCTTATTCATATAGCTGCCTCTATAGAAATGAGGAAAAGTGTCTGTTTCTGTGTAATAACTGACATTTTTGGTGTGGGGAGTATATTGTCTCCTCAGGTATGTGTGTCTAAGAACAGGTAGGGTAGGAAGACCAAAATAAGGCAATAAATTAAATCTGGCCCCTGGAATGGGGGGGAGGGAGGGAACGGGGTGGAGGTGGGCTGTGTCTCTGTGTGTTGTGGGGGAGGGCTGGGTTGTGTGCCTTTGTGTGGGGATTGGGGGTAAGGGGTTTGTATCTACTTCTGTGTGCCCCTATGTGGGGATGGGATAAAATGTCTGCCCAAGTAAGGGTGGGGTGGGTGTGTGTGTGTGTGTGTGTGTGTGTGTGTGTGTGTGTGTGTGTGTGTGTGTGTGTGTGGGTGTGTGTGTGTTATCTGCCCCTTTAAAGGTAATAATGCGCTTTCAATTCTGAAATCATACAAGACTGCCTGACATTTAACTATGTCTGTTATAAGCAATACAAAAATGCTCTAGGCCTCCTTAATACCTGTATACTTTCAATAATATACTTAAGAGGAATAGTCACCTTGGTGTGTCTAGATTCCTGCTAATGTAACAATGTAATGATGACAGATGAAAGTACTGCAAGCTATTTAAAACACAGCAAATTAAAATACAGCTGTAATACTGTTTTGAAATAACCTCAAGTCAAAACAATACAAAATTGTTAAAATATTCAAAAGCCAGCAATATTACAAGTAGACTACCTGCTCACTCATTTCTCAAAGCAGGGTCTACGTTGATTATCCAAATGACTCGGTTTAATCTGTGCTCACAAAACCACATGGGAATAAGAATGGCTCAGTAACTCTTCCAATGTACCTTACATTTTGTATAAGAAATGTTTTGAAAAACTGTTATAAAACAAGTTTTTATACACCCACCACATTTTAAAGGTATTAAAGAAAATGTAGTATTTGAAATAATCTATAGGGACTCTTCTTTGGAAGCAAAATTTAATTTCGTATTTTGAATTATCATTCACTAATTTTATGGACTTAAAAATGTGGGTTTTCATACATCATTTTTTTCAGTGAGATACACCTGTACTGTTTTGAGATATTCACCTATGTTAGTCTTTTTTTAAATTGCCCATTCTTGAATATTTACAAGCATTTCCCACTTTTCATAGTAATATATTCTTAGAAACAGTCCCAGAAAACAGATCAAATATTCCCACAGGAAGTTTTTTTTAAAAATCAGGTGTAACATATATGACCAAAGACTCAGCTTTAATTAAATCTTAGCAATAGCCAGTTGCATGCCACAAAAGTAAATACATAATAAATAAAAAATATTACTCGTTAAGCTATTAACTATTGTTTGGTGTAAACAACCAACACCTTAAAATAATCATTTGCCTCCTTGATATCTGGGAAATTGAATTTCTGCTTTGTAACTGAAGACAAAAATTGTTCAGAACTTATTTCAACTTTCTTTCCATTACAAGCAAAAGCTTCCTTACAACCTCTCCAGACTGGAGTTTGAAGCTGACTTTTGCACTTATTATTAGAATCTAACATTATATAGTTATATGTGAAAATGAAAAGATTGTTGAGAACATGACCTAATTATAATTAAATTTACTTAAATCGGAACCCTACCAAGTTTAAGTATTCTGCTTATCCCATACACTTCTCCAGTCATCTATGGTTTTATTTTCAGTTTAACCTGTTATTGGCTTACTTTGTTTTACAATTCAAAAAAGGTACAGGGCAGGGGGAATGACTAGAAGTAGGAAAAAGCAAAGCAGGACTTGTCTGATCCATTTTATCTGTGTATTATCAAGAATGAAAACTATGGATGAGTTTCAATTGTCAGTATTTGATACTTTTTTAATTTTTAAAACTATGTAGCATTTCCTTTTTTTTCCTTGTGAATTTAATATAGATTTGGCTATTGGATATCTGTGTTGTTGTTGTTTTTTTCCCCCATTGCTCATAGGCTCATAGATTTGGAGCCAAAAGGAACCTTAAGGGTCAACTCTTTGAAACCTTACCACCACCCCTCTACCCCATTTTACAGAGAAGAAACTGAGGACCAAAAAGGCTATGAAACTTGACCAGTTTCAAACAGACACATCTGAACTTCAAACTCAGGTCCCTAAATAACATGCAATTAAAATATTTGTCCATCTCTTTTTCTTGCTGAATAAGCTACTTGAGAAAATTACTTTAAAATACCTAATTAAGGGCTTTCAAGAGTCTATTTAAAGTGCCAGCAAGCTCTCTAAAATGAATTTTAATTGTTCAATCATAGCATCAAAGACTGTAAGAGCTGCAAGGGCCATAAAGTCCAACTGGACCTTAATAGTTCCTTCTACATGCCCAACAAGTGATCATCTTGCCTTTCTTTGAAGACCTCCAATAAGAGGGAACCCCCTGTCTTCCCTAAGATTTTAGGACAGCTTTAATTTAACAGGAAATTTTTCCTTATATGGAACTGAAATCTCGCTTTAAAGCCTCCACCCAGGTACCAGAACAGCAGGATGGCTTGAGAGGTGGGGGGAAGACACCTGATTAACCACAGAAGGGTTGGCCCTGGGGAAACCTCCAGCTCTGAGCAAGATACAATCTCTCCTAGGCAGGGTAGTTGCAGGGAATGGCACTTTGAGACTCCATCAACCCACGTCACTTGCCAAATTATTTATATAGCCAATTGGGGACTATCCAAAGGTGAGTGACACTGTTAGGGATTTTATGCCAGGCTATATTTAATTTTTCTTGTTCTGCCTTGTCACTCTAGTCATTTCATGGCTTATCAATACCAACTGTAATTCTTACTTCATTGACTATAGTCAAAATGCCAAAGAAAACCACTTGCTATCAAGTACTCCCCCTTCATGTTAAGTGAAAAAAAAAAGTATGTTCAGAGGGAGAAAACCTTGACCTTCTACAAAATACACTACAGTGGTTCCTATTTTTATATCCTGATGACACCAAGTCCTAAAGTGGTTGTGGTATCAAAAATTAGAAAACCTTTTAACAATCTTTCTGTAAACTTTTCCCCCTTTTATTTTCCCACACAATGAGTCTAATAAAAGAAAAAAACAAACTTCGGAAAAATTTTATTTGTAAATTAAGTACTAATTATGATGGTTAAACAGGTCTACAGAACTGAGATTTTTCTTTATAAGAACAAGTCATTCCAATTGAGAAGCAGCAATATGCTCTGGAAATTTCCAATGATTAGTTGTATGTCATGTAACGGGGAGTAGCACTAAATTTGGCGTATGATTTGATGACCTTATTCACAGCTTCCAAGAAATCCTTCTCAGTGGCAATTTTTCGTCGCGCCCTGATTGCAAACATACCTGCTTCAGTGCAAACACTTCGGATTTCAGCACCTTTCAAATACAAAAAAGAGGAAACTTTATTCAGATACTGAATAAATGCAAAATGGACAGAATAATCAAGCAACGAGCAAAACTATTAACTTACCAGTACTATTGGGACACAGCCGTGCTAACAACTCAAATCTTATATCTCTTTCAACACTCATTGAACGAGCATGAATTTTGAAAATATGTGTCCGACCCTAAAAACAGAGAAATAAATGTTGCTAAAATCACAGAAGCATTGGGGGCAGGGAGAAGTACTTCTAAAGTAAAAATAAATTTCTTACCTCCAGATCAGGTAAGCTAAACTCAATCTTTCTATCCAGTCTCCCAGGTCTCATCAGTGCTGGGTCCAAAGTATCAGGTCTGTTGGTGGCCATCAGTACTTTAATATTACCCCGAGGATCAAATCCATCCAGCTGATTGATAAGTTCCAACATGGTTCGTTGTACCTCATTGTCACCCCCAGCTCCATCATCAAAACGAGCACCTAAACAGGGAGAAAACTATTAGGCTGCAATTTACAAAGCAAAAACAGTATTTCATAAAAGGTAGATACTATTCTAAAATTTGATTATGTTTACTTTCTGTATTCACTATGCTGGAAAAAGGCTCGCAAGAAAAATAGCACTCAATTAACCAACTAAAAGTCTTGAAAAAGCTTATAAATAAATTTAGCCTGTTCCTGTGTTTTTGCTCCATTATTCTTTTCTTCTTCTCAAAGACAGAGCTAGGACTTCACAAATTCTAAAGAAATCACTCAAAAGTCAACATAGTATATTATGCTTAATAATCAAATATTCCTCATTAAAGGAATAATGGGTCAATTTTTCCCCCATCTCCCCTACTGAAGAACATATCCAGTTACATCTCTTTAAAGTACATCTTATTTCAATGTGAAGCTTTATTCAACATAAAATTCCTATAAACAAGGTGCACCTGAAATGACCTGATAAACAAAATTTCAATTTACAAATTACTTTCATTGTGAAACATCTGGATAACATTATAGCATGGAAATCCTGTATAAAGTATACTAACAGTGTAGAACTAATGTTGCATTGCTTTCCTAAATTACTGAACATCTCCAGCATGGTACAGTGGAAAGTATTCTAACTCTTCCACTTTACTGTTGTTAGTACAAATAAGGGAGTCGAACTAAATGGTCTTCCAGGTCCCTTCTAGCTCTAAATGTATGACCTTAGGATCTTTTAAAATTTCTAATATACCAGAACGTTGTTATAGCACAACTTAGAACTGCATAAATCTGGATGTATCCCAGCTTAAGTCAGATATGGCCCCTCCCCATCACAATAAATAGTTCTCTAACACTCTAATTTCTATATGTAATACACTAAACTCTATAGGGAATAGAGTAACAGTGTGACTTTTTAAAATTAATAGTATGTGAAAAAGTAGCTCAAATCACATAAGTATATAGCTATACATACTAGAGTTAAATCAAGTCCCCTGAAATATAACTACATATAAAAAAGCCAAATGTAAATTAATCTGTAAGTTGGACATTAGTAAAACTGTGCCGATTACCAGCATTACAGAAAGGTCCCATTGTTAATTTAAGTCATTCTCACCATTAAACAACATTAGAATGGAGCATGATATACTAATCCAAGTATTAAAGAGCCTAGTACAGTTAGAAGAAAAAGGCCCTTTTCTAATAGCTATTTCAAGAAGCTGATCTAAATACAGTCTATTCTATTTTTGCTTATAAAATTCTCTTAAAATAATAGTTTTCACAGAGGTATGCATCTCAAAC